CTCACTTCTTAGAGGTCACCTGGGTTGTGGGGACTTGATACCCTCTGTTGTCTCAGGATCACCCAGTATCCTCCAGATGTAGATCTCTCCTACTGGGCTTTTCAGGGTAGCACCACATAGCTGTGGCCAAGCTGGAACCAAATGTTACACATACTCTTAGGGGCCATGACATGCCTGGCTCCTGACTCCGACCATACTGGCAAAGAATTCAGGTCAAAAAGCTGATTTTACCAATAGAACCAGGACATACATGACTGGTAGCAGAGATGGAGTACTCCTGAACCACTAGTTTCCATCTCTGCCCTCAATAAATGTAATTTTTGAAGATGCCCAGGACATAACTTATTTTATTTTATTTTTTTTGGTACCGGGGATTGAACTCGGGTCCTTGTGCTTGAGAGGCATGCGGCAGAACCACTGAGCTAAATCCTCGGCCCTGGACACAACTTTTGCTTTGGCAGCAAGCAAAATCCTGCAGAACTTGGTTGCCTAAAATCTTTGACTTGTAAACTATTAAGACTCATCATTCTTAGCTACTTGTGTCGCTAACAAAAAGTTCACACAGATACTGTAGTAATAAAATCTAACAATGGGGGGAGGGAAAGAAAGGAAAGGGGACATAAAAAAAATTAAGGTATGTACATGTACCAACTCCTGATGACAAATGTAATCATTATGTACTATAAACATGTACTAATAAACATAAAAACTTTTAAAAATAAAATAAAATCTAACTATGGACATATAATATGGGGTAAAATTTGTACTAAGCACTTTCAGGTTTAACTCTCCTTTCATTCTCTTATTTCACAATAAAGAGCTCAGGATCTCTACAGGTGCTGAGAATACTGCAGTGAGCAAAAATGACACAAATCTCATGACAAAGACCTTACCATCTAGAGGAATGGAAGAAAGATAATAAAAAGTACAAACCAAAAAATTACATAAGATGTTAGGAGACAAGTGATAAGGATAAACAAGCAGATACAGGGTATATGAGAAAAGGGTGTCACATGAACATATTCCCAGCTTTAACTATGACACCCAGAGCCTCACTGGAGAGTTCCAGCTTGAATGAAGCCTTGAAAGAGTACCAGAAGAGCCATCTAGATGTCCAGGCAGTATCCTTGCAGGGGAACAGCCAAGATGAGATCTCTAGATCAACAGTGTGCCACATAGGGCTGGGGATTTAGCTCAGTGGTGCCACTGCCTGCCTCGCAAGCACAAGGTCCCGAGTTCAACCTCCGGTACCAAAAAAAAAAAATGTGCCACATGCTGGGGGGCAAGGATGCACATGTCTAGGAAGTCCGAGTAAAAGAGAAAGGGATGAAGCCAGAGAAGTACCTGAGGCCAGGCTGGGAAGGTCTAGAAGCTACCAGAAGAACCCTGGCTCTTCCTCTGAAAGAAATGACGAGCAAGAAGCTTTGAGTAGTTCAGTATGTTCCAACTTCTATTTTCAGGGCTGGGCATGCAGCTTAGTGGTAGAGCATTTGCCTACCATATGTCAGGCCCAATCTCTAACACTCAAGTAAATAAACAGAAATTTTTAAAAAATTTATTTTTCAAGCTCTAAGGTTAAAATAGACTGAGAAGAAGATAAGGAATTTTTTGTCAGAATCCAGGTGAGGGATGATGGCAGCTCAGATAACAGAGGTGACAATAGAAGGAAGAGCAATGGTCTGATTCTGGAGAAATTCTGAAAGTAGACCCAGTGGGTTTCCTAAACAAGTGAACAGGTCTAATATGAAGACAGGAAAGGATGAATCCAAGATTTCTGCAGGATAACACTGCCATTACCTGAGATGGGAAAGCAGTTATATGTAGAACAATTTGAGAAATATGAGAATCCTGTCCTAGACACATTCAGTCTGAGAATATTCAATACTGAAATGCTGATATCAAACATACAATTGGCTCATATGAGCCTGGAACCCAGAAGAGGACAGGCTAGAGATACAAATCTGATAGTATTTTAAATAGCATTTAAAGCCCTGAGATAGGAGACAATAACAGAGAGTGAATACAGACTAGGAAATAAGGCCCAGGGCCTGAGCTGTGGGCCATGCCACCATTTAGAGGTCAAGAAGAAGATAGGAGCCACCACAGGGGACAGAAGAGAAACAGTATGGGAGAGAGGAGGAGATACAAAGAGTATGGTATCAGGAAACCCAGAAAGATCATTCTGGGAAAGGCAATAGTTATGGCTTGTATCTAGACATCCCTCCAAAAGCCTCATGTGGTCACAGGCGGGGATTTTCAGAGGTAGCTGGCTCTAAGGTGTGTGATGCTGGGATTGAGGGTGTGTGATTACTAAATTAGTACACTGATTGGTTTGGCATAGTTCTGGGTGTGGATAATGGGAAGGCCCAACCTAGGTTTGGATGCACCACCCAAAGGGCAGGTAGCTTGGAAGAGATAAAAGGGAGATTCTGGCTGCTGCTGCTGCTTCCCTGTTACTTCACTGCTTTGTTGCCCTCCTCATTCTGTCTGCTATAGACTGTTTCTCCTCAGCAATGCCCCTCTGCCATGCCACCCTGCCTTGGAGCCAGCCAACTATGAACTGAAACCTCTACAAACAGTAAGCCAAAATAAACCTTTCCTCCTTTAACTTTGGGTATCAGGTATTTTGTCCTAGCAATGAGCAAAGGAAGACAGGAGTGCTCAACAGTGTCAAATGCTGTTGGCAGATTTGGTACCACAGCCAACTAGATGATGACAAATCAGTGAAAATTTCAACAGCAGTGTTGGCAGAGTATAGAGGTGGAGGTCTGAAGGGTTAGGAGGGCCCAGGAGAGGAATTTAAGCACCCTGTGAGCAAAGTGTTCATTACAGATGAGAAAACAGCATTAAAGAGTCAAAAAAAGCCAAGCCATGGGGAGGCCTATGAGCCCTGTAACACACTCAAAAATCTTCTGAGGGTCAATCTGGGAGGTGGGATATAAAGAGAAGATACAGAGATAAAGCATTCAAGTCAATGGGACTTTAAACTTTCCACTATTTGTTCCTTTAGCAAGAGGACCCTCTAAGTGGAGTGAAGAGCCCAAGTCACAACTGACCAAATGAAGCAAAAGCCAAGAAGCAGGCAAGTCCTGGGGTAAATAAGGTGGCAGCAGTGCCATCTTATGCTCCGTTGCCCCTCAATGTGTATAAAGCTAGCTGAACACTAAAGACTGAGAGGTATGGGGCTGTTAAATTACCAAAGTTAACTCTTATTTTTCTTCCCTAAAATGTCTTTATTTTTAAGACCTATACAGTTTCAATTTGATAAAAATATTACCACCAGATATCTAATTATACAGCAACAGAATAAACAAAAAGTACAGTTAGAGGTTATCCAAAATAAATTTACAATTTTAAAGTTGGAAGACATAGGCTTTTTTCAAATGAACAGAACATTTTTTTCTCAAACATCCAAGATACCAAGATACTGCTGAACCAGAACCTGACAACCTCTTGACGTCACAAATAAGTACTTCTATTAACTTGAAAAATAAAATTGCCCCAAGCCATTCAATGACTAATGTGGTTTCTTAAAAAAATACACCAATGCTTTAAAATGCCTACCTACTACCTAAGGTGTGAAGAGGAGTTTTCTTTTCAAAAAATAAAAGTTGAATCTGCTGATTTATTTTTTTATCAAGTGTATTTTACTCAGACCATTTTTATAATACATCTTAAGCCTGAAAGAATGTGAAGGTGTTAAAATACAAAAACTTCTTTGGGGACCAGGGATTCAGCTCAGTGGTTCCAGCGCCTGCCACGCAAGTGCAAAGTCCCCAGTTCGATCTCCGGTACCAAAAACAAAAACTTCTTTAGTCCTTAGACAGAGGTACCCGAGATGTAAACCACCGCAGTGGGAGACCCACAGCTGGGGATGCTACTTCTCATACTGACCTGGACATGGATGTCCTTGTTTCTCAGAGATATTGTAATTTCCTTTCCAACAATAACACCAAACTTTTTTTTTTTTTTTGGTACTGGGGATCGAACTTGGGACCTTGCGCTTTCGAAGCTGGCGCCGGAACCACTGAGCTAAATCCCTGGCCAATAACACCAAACTTAACTCTTCAAGTATTGGTGTTACATGAAGCTCACAGAGCCAATCCTCTCAGCTCTTTAAATACTTCCCACAAGTCTGATTTCTTATCCACACCTGTTGACATGTTAGAGTCCCACTAAGAGAGGCTAACTTCCTTAAGAAGAGAATTCACAGTGCACAGAGTTGACTGGTCTCGAGTAACTAAAAGGAGCCCTTGGGCCCTGAGTGATACGCATACCTGGGAGTGTCCCCACACCCAGCCCAAACTAAGTGCTGCCTTTCACAGTGTCATGCCCTGACACTGTGGCCTGCCTTTCCACAGTACATGAAGAGGCAGTGTGGGATAAGAAAAGGAGCCCAGGGCCGGGGATTTTGCTCAGTGGTTTCACCACCTGCTGCGCAAGCACAAGAACTGGAGTTCAATGCCCAGTACCAAAAAAAAGAAGCCCAGACCACAAAAGGAAGGGATGGTTTCTACTGTAAAGAGCTGTGTGAGAACAGGAAAAGTCCCTTTCCAAGGGCTCGACAGAGTTACTGGACCTCACCTCCCAGAGCCACAGCTTCAATTCTCAGCAGAAAGTAGACTGTGGAGTGAAGCTTTCCAAGCTACTGTTCATTAACAGAGGCAACTGATTTCATATTCCATGAACAACTGTGAAAAGAGTGCCAAATGATGATACACACTCCCTACCATCTATTTCAATGTTACGAGTTGCCATGAAAGCTGTATTTGTTAATGACTTATTTCCTCATGTAATTAAGACATATTATTAGTATACTTTTGATAAAGATGTACACCAGACTGGTTGAAATAATGTCAAGAGCAAAGAAAGTGACAAGTTAGTCAAAGCAACCAGCAGAATCCAAAAATTAACACAACACACACACACACACAGAGGGAAGGAAAGAGGGAGGGAAGGACAGACAGAGAGAGAGAAAGGCTCTGACATATTAGATATACCTTGAACTGGGATCTCCCCATAGTTTGGTCTCTTATCTGACAAGGCTGTGAGGGGCTTGGATGTTGAGATTGGTCCGCTTATGGAATGTCTCTGAAATCACAAGATGAACAGTATCAAAGTTAGGTTAAACTTAGTGCTGAGACTCACAGAGAAAGTAAACGTTGCAAAGAGTAAATATTTAGTTATAAATTTGCATAATTTCTTCCATATTGCAACAGTAAGGTTATATTACACATTAGAGGAATATAATGTGATCAACAGATGTTTTTAAAAATTAAATTTCTTAAATGAGCTAATTACAGATTCACATGCAATTGTAAGAAATAAGGAGATTGGTGTATTCTTCACTCAGTTTCCCATGGTGGTAACATTTTGTAAATCTACAGCAGAATATCACAACAGGAGATTGACACAGTAACGATACAGAACACTTCTGTCACCAAAAGGATCCTTTCCTCGGCCCTTTTAGAGTCATACTATCTTTCCCTTCCAGACCCCAAAACCGATGGTTTTCTGATCATGATTTCATTATTCTGTTTAAAGAGAATTTTTTAAATATCACATGTCAATTCACTAAATACTAGATCCAAAAGGAAATACAGATTGTAATTTTACTAGTCATTCATGCCCTGATTCCAAATAGATTTCAATTCTATTACCCATTTGCTAAGTCCATAGCTCCCTCAGTATAATATGTCATTTTAAATTCAGCACTACTGCCAACAACTTTGTTACTGGCTTCCTAAATCTCCAGACTTACGGATACAGAAGCAGTCTGAAATATCCACTGCAAATACTTAAACTTGTAAAACATTTAATATTTTATATATGCTTTTCCTTGTGCTACATTCTGGCTTTTTTTTTTTTTTTTTTTTTCTGTGATTTAACCCTGGTCCTTGCGCTTTCAAGGCAGGTGGTGGAACCACTGAGCTAAATCCCTGGCCCCTAGCCTTTTTTTTTTTTTTTTTTAATCTAGCTATTTTCTAGCTACTCATTTCATACTCTCAGTAGAAATGTGCAATAGGTCCAGCTTTTCTACATCTTGATATTGTTTTCTACACACTTGATATTGTTAGCCTTTTTAATTTTGGCCATTCTTAAGGGAGGAATTAAGATCTCATTGTGGATTTAATTTCCCTTTCCCTGATGACTAATGATGTTGAGCATCTTTTCAAATGCTTACTGATCACATGTACATGTTCTCTTAAGAAGGGTCTTTTCAAATCTCTTTTTGGGGGTAGGGACGGTACTGAGGATCAAACCCAAGACCTTCCCATTGAGCTACATTCCCAGCACTTTTTAAATTTTTCTATTTTAAAACAGGGTCTCACTAAGTTGCTAAACTGCCCAGGCTGGGTTCAAACTTTCAATCTTCCTGCCCTAGGCTCCCAGAGTCCTAGGAGTAACACCACTATCTATACCTGGTTGCCTTCAAGTTTTCTTAATGTCTTTTAAACAAGTTTTAAATTTTGATGCCCAATTTATCAATTTACTTTTACAGTTCATGCATTTATGTGTTCTAGATAAGAAACGTTTACATTCTCAAAGGTCATAAAGATTTTTCTCTGTGAAATGCCCACATCCAAAAGTTTGCTTGTTTTTTTGTGGTTTTCTTTTAACTTTTTGTTTGGTTTTTTGAGACAGGGTTTTACTTTGTAGTTCAGGCTGGCCCTGAACTCACTATGTAGCCCAGGCTGGCCTCGAACTCACGGTGATCCTCCTGCCCCTGCCTCCTGAGTGCTGGGATTACAGGTGTGAACCACATGCTCAGCATCTAGAAGTTTTATACTGTTAGCCTATACATTTAGGTGTATCACCAATTTCAATTTTTCCATTGGTTTTATTTTTTCCCCTCACTGCACAGAGCAGAAGTTCCAGCAAAATGTGTGTGTTTTTAAAAGAAAAAGATGGTGAGAGTATCCTTGCATTGTTCCCAATTGTAGAGGAAAAGGACTCATCTTTAGTCTGCTAAGTATGATGCAAGCTATAGACTTTCTATAGGTCTTCTTTTTCAAGATTGATTCCTATTTCTAGTTTACTGAAGAAGTTTTACTATAAATAGGTTTAGTAGTTGGTGGGCTGGGGATTTAGCTCAGTGGTTCTGGTGCCTGCCTTGCAAGCGCAAGGTTCCGAGTTCGATCCTCAGTACCAAAAAAAACGGTTCAAAATTTTGTAAAAATTCTTGGTACAGATTCTGAAATTAACATGGGTTTTTAAAAAATCCTTTATTCTTTTAAGGTAATCTTAATCTTGCACTCCTGAGGTATGCCATACTTGGTTATGATAGATTATCAATTTAAAAATTGTTAGATTCAATTTGGTAATGTGTTAAGTTTACATCTATATTCGTAAGAGATAATGGTTAGTAGTTCTCTTTCTTTGTTATGTTTCTGTCTGTATCGGCTACCACCTAACACTGGAATCACAAAATAAATAAATTGAGAAGTCTTCATTTTCTTCTGCTTTCTGAAAGACTTTGTATAAAATTAGAATTATTTCTGCCACAAAGGTTTGATTGAATCCACTATAAAAACAAACTGGGCCTGGAGTTTTCTCTGTGGGAAGGCTTTACTTTGAAATAACTATGGGAAGTGTTTGTGATAGCACCTTATAACTGTTCCTGGGAGCTATTCATGGAAAATTATTGTTGGGTTTTACCTATGCAAGTCCTGGCTGACATTCAGGCAAAGACTCAAAAAGATACACCTGCAGAGTTCTAGATCCTTTCTCTATGTAGCTCCCTCCTCCCAGGGGCTCTGACCTTGAATGTTAATTCGTGTTCCCTCACATCTAATTTGTTTCCTCTTTTCTGTTCCAGGTGGGTTTGCATCACCATCTGAAAATTGCTTCCAGGAAAGAATGTGGCCCGTAGCAGGACTTCCTTCATCTCTTAACTTTTTTCAGTCATAGTTTTGCACTGCTTATTGTACAATTTCTGAAAATAACTGCTTCCTATATTTTTTCCAGCTTTCTAGTTGTTTGTGATAGCAGCTCCTGTTGCTTCTTCATGGTCAGAAGTAGACTTTCTACCCAGTGAGTTATGAAAAACTAACAACCTCAGTCCCCGGAGGTTTTGGTTCACTAGAATGAGGGCTGGGAATCTGCGTATTTAAAAATTCTCCATGTGATTTTTATACCCAAGTTTGAGAACCACTGTGCTAATCATGTATTTAAAAGCTACTGAATGTAGCTTGTAATTATTTGCTTTTTCTAAGCTATAGAAATGAGATTTTTCATTTCCTATCTTTACAAGATTTAAAAAATAATGCCCTGGACATTAAACTTCAACTGACCAATACTACTTTAGAAATTCACCTTATTTGAAGTTTATTATTTTTGGAACATTTACTTTGCCTTTATTTACATCTTTTGGTTTTTAGAAAAAGCTTGATTGACAGTATGTAAAGAGGGGCTGGGGATTTAGCTCAGTGGTGCCGCTGCCTGCCTCACAAGTGCAAGGTCCTGAGTTCGATCCCTGGTACCAAAAAAAACCAAAACCAAAAACAAAAACCCCAGTATGTAAACAGCATTAAATCTGCAAGTGAAATATGGAATTTTCTCCTTTGTTTTCCTTTTAAATTAAGACACAATTTCTTGTATATGCATGCAAATGCAAAGCCACTGACTTGCAACACCACAATTTCAGAAGGAACATAATTTTACCCTAAACATCACAAGAAGTTATAAAGTCCACCTACAAAACACATGATCAACAGTTGACAATGTTCTCAAGCTCTATTATTTTAGGGACAGATGTAGCTGAGGCTACCTTATTTCACAGGATACTGAGTTTGAGGCCATCTATCCTTTGGCTGCTCTTATGCATGTGGAAATATTCCACCTCAACCACACTTTCTAAAAGTGGCTGGATAAAGGACACAATATGAGGACCTCTAAAGCATCACAGAGAGCAGCCACCAACCCTGCTTCTGGTCTATATTCCCACAAGAGCAAGGAACAGCAACTTCTGAAAACTGGGTGTTATGGATCAGCGATGTCCTTGAATTAGACTGAGATGACACGTCTCTAAACTCATGCCTTGTGCAGACCACCCCCTCTCTGAGTTTGAGTTGCCCTATGACTTGCTTGAACCAAAAGAAAAGGCTAGAAGTTTCACTGTCCAAATTCCACACCAGGATCCTGCAAGGTTTTGCTACCTTCTACTTTCGCTGTCCTGGAGCTGTGGAAAGCAGGGTGTGTAAGGGCCCAAGAAGACTGTGGAGAGAGCTGCCCAGCATCCTGCTGAGTCCAGATCCCTACTTATAATCCAGGTGAGCACAGGTGCAGGAGTGAGCCCAGGCCTAGTCAGCAAAGAACCACAAAGCCAACCCAAAAGAATGTGAAAAATAATAAACTGCCATTTTAAGCCAGTAAGTTTTGAAATGATTTGCTGTACAACAGAAGTTGAGATGTGCCAACTACATATTGAGAGGTGTTTTAGTTTTCCAGAAATACACCGTAACTTATATAATTTATCTCAATTAAAGATATTCACCATATTTTAGGAAACTAATCCCAAATACATCCTTCTGAGGTAGTCATTGGCCCTTCTGATGCATTGTGCATGAGTTTGAAGCAGAGAACTTAACTTCAGATTGTGAGGCCCCAGGGCCTTCAGCAGTCCTGGGGTCTTACCTGCATGGGAGATACAGCTGCCGCAGGAGGGGTTTTCATAGGACTTGGACTCAGAGGTGTTCGAGGAATTGTAGCTGCAGCAGGGTTTGGTACTACAAAAACAAGTACATACATAATGAATGCAACAGAAGGCTTTCTTAACTGGCCTCTGTTTAAGGATTCACCAAATTTGTGTGGTGGTGGTGGTGGTTGTTTGAGACAGGGTCTCGCTATGTAGTACAGGCTGGACTTGAACTCACTATGTAGTCCAGGCTGCCCTCGAACTCAAGGTAAGTCTCCTGCCTCAGCCTCCTGGGGCTAAGATCATAGGTCTGTGCCAACACATCTGGCCAGGACTCACCATATTTATCAGTGTTCTCAAATTCCCATAGAAAATGTCTTGGCTGATACTTAACCTAGCTAAACATTCATGATTGTGCCCTAGGAGACAGATATTTGCTTCCACAGGCCAGTAATTCCAATTTTGCTATTAAATTACATAATATACTAATAAACATCATGAACCAATGAAATGTAAATATAAAAAAAACCCACAAGAGGGCTAGGAGTATAGCTCAGTGGTGGAGCACTTGCTTAGCAATTATAGCCCCTGGCTTTCATCACCAGCATTGGGAAAAAAATTAAATTGAATTAAAAGACCTAAAAGTGGGCCGGGGATTTAGCTTAGTGGTTCCACCGCCTGCCTTGCGATCACAAGGTCCCGAGTTCGAACCACAGTACCAAAAAAAAAAAACACCCCAACAGTAAGCTGGGCATAGTGGTGGCACATGCCTGTAATTCCAGCACTCTGGGAGACAGGGGCAGGAGAATCCCAAATTCAATTCCAGCCTAAACAAAAGAACAACTTAGCAAGTCTCTGTCTCAAAATTTTTAAAAAGGACAGGGGTCAGTGTGAAGGAACCTGGGTTCAACCCTCAGTATCAGAAAGAAAAGAAAAGGAGAAGGGAGGGAAAGGGAGAGGAGGAGAAGGGAAGGGAAGGGGAGGGGAGCAGAGCTTTATATAGTAACAAATGTTCAGTAACTGCATATTAAACCAAAGATTAGTGAATTGGTCATCTCACCTCACTTTCTCCTATAGAAGTGATCGATCACTTTACCCCATGTATATTTTCTGATTTGCATTTAATACATAGATGTGTCCTTATCTGTTTGGACATCAGCATTCTTGTCTAGATTGAACTGTTTAAAAGAAGTTTCTTTTTTTTCAATTCATTTTCTCATTAATTTCTAGATATTGGGCTTAGCATAGATTTTAGTAAAAACTGCATAAAAATGGTCACTCATTTGAAGCTGAATTAAAATCAAAATGGGACAAAGGAATGAACATTAGTGTGGCAAGATAAAGCAGATCATTACAGACCTTTTAATAAAGCCAAATACTTAAAACTGACATCTTTAAAGATTCTCTTTTTTACTAAGATAAAATCCACTTAACACAAAACTATTTTTAAATGTACAGTTCAGTGGCATTTAGAATATTCACAATATTGTACAATGATCACTTCTATCTAGTTTCAAAACATCTTCATTACTCCAAAAGGAAACACAGTACCTATTAAGTAAGTTACTCCCCGCTCACCCCACCCCCAACCCCTGGCAATCACCAATTTGCTTTCTGTTTCTATGAACTAACCTATTCTCCATATTCCATATAATGGCATCTTACAATATGTGGTCTGCTATGTCTGTCTTCTTTCACTGAGCATAATACTGTAAAGGCACATTCAAGTTGTAGCATGTAACAGAACTTCATTCCTTCTTATGGCTGAATAATATTCCATTGCATGGATATAACACATTTTGTTTATCTATTCATCTAATGTATGGACACCTGGGCTCCTCCTCCTTCTTGGCTACTGTGAACAGTGGTGCCATGAATATTTATTTGCCTAAATAACTCTTTCAATTCTTTTGTAACTAGGAGTAGAACTGCTGGGTCATTTAGATGTATTTTATTATAAAATAATATATTTAGTTTTTTAAAAAGATCAGTATAGAAACATATATATAATTTTTGCATTAAAGCTTGTTTTGTTAATATTTTGCATAGATGCACAATATTAATTTAGTATACAGTCCATTTATTTTAGGAGAATATATTTTTTTAAAGTCTTCATTTCATCTAACCCCCTCATATTACAAAGAAGTAGCCACTGAAAGCAGTTCTGAGGGCATCTTTCTTATACTTTAACTCCAAAATACATATAGCTATCCATGTACTTTCAAAAACTTGTTATAGGGGCCAAGGATTTAGCTCAGTGGTTCTGCCATCTGCCTTGCAAGTGCAAGGACCAGAGTTTGATCCCCGGGTACAAAAAAAAAACCCCAAAACTTATTATAAAAGATTTCAGATATATCTTAACATCAGTGCTTCAAGATCTAATCCTCATCCTTATTTAACAATTAAAAAAAAAACAAGCCCTGACTTCCGACTTGTTTCCAAAAATGAAGTACAGTGTAGCTGGGCTGTAGAGGTTGAGGGGAAGAGTGGGCCAACTGAGGCAGGAGGTGCGCAGAGGTCAAACTTTGTGAGTATCTGGAGGTCTAAATTTCAATCCAAGTCTTATGGTAATTAAAGGATTTTAAGCAAGAAAAGCCATATCATGAAATGAAATGGGAAGACTAAATAGGAGGTCATTGAAATTAGTAACTGATGATAGCTTGAACTAAAAGATTGTGCTACTAGAGATGGAAAGAAGCAGACTGAGGCCAGGCATGATGGCACACACCTGTGATCCCAGCACTTGGAAGGCTGAGGCAGGAAGACTGCTGAGAGTTCAAGTCAAGCCTGGGATTCATAGTAAGTTCAAGGCCTGCCTGGACCTCATAGTGAGACTTTTTCTCAATAAAACCAACCAATAAACAAAAAAAAAAGCAGCAGACTGAGCAAAGGTCCATGTTGAAGGCTGAATCAAGAAGACTTGCTAAGAATAAATCAGATGTGGATAGAATGGTGGATAGAATGGTGCTGCCATTTATAAATGAGGAAAGACTGAGGCTGGAAAATAAAATTCACCTTTATTAAGATTATCTCATTGACACTTATTAAGAATATTCATTGATATGAATTTTCTATCAGACCAAAAAACATATGGTAAGTGAATACAATTACATACCTTTGGTACAATGGACAAAGAATTATTTACCTTGAGATGCACTGTCAAAGGACTTAATGAGGGTTTTTACTGTAGGAGTCGGCTCTGAGGAAGTCGAGGACCTTCTACTTAGTCCCATCCCTTGCCTTAAGGCTGCCAAATCTCTCTCAACAGCATTCATGTAATTGTATACTCGCCCTCGCTCCTCCTCTTGCCTAAAAAATATATTGAAATACAGGGATCTGTATATATAGAGTCCACCCAAAAAATGTATAAATCAGGAAAAGAGAAACTTATATATAAATATTTTAATATTAAATTTATTGAGACATCTCTAGATTAATACAAGTTACCTCTGGCCCCTACAATTACCAGAAGTGCTCAAAGTGGTAGCCATTAACTTCCAGACATTTGTTAGTACGGTGAACAGTGCTGAAGTGTGTATACAATTTTTTGGCAGACTCTGTATATAAGAGAACACACATTTTCCTCTCCCAGCTGAAAAGGATTAAAATATACTAGTTTTGTAGGTTTGTTTTTTTTTAATTGTATCGGTTGAGCAGAATAGATTACCTGGACCAATATTCTCATTTGCTTGGTAAATATGAGGAAATTATATTAAAAATTTCTATCAAATTATCCTGTTAAATAACAATCAAATTCCATTTTTATTGGATAAGTTTCAGGTGAGGACATCAGTAATCAATTAGTAGTAAAATGGGAGGCAGATCAGCCACAGAGCCTGACTCAAAACTGGGAATCTCTGATTCTGGGCTGCCCAAAGGCCTGGCCCTTCTCGAAAGTCCAGGAATTCATTAGTACATGTAGATGGATAATTTATGCTAGCTCTAGCTAAACTGCTGTGCTGAGACATGGAAATACAAAAAAATGAAACCAAAGTCCATGTTCTTAAAGAACAAAACAAAACAAAACTACTACAGAATACAAACAGAATTTCTACAAAGAAACCTATGCCCCTATTAGTAACATGAATCCTGCAAGCAGCTTAGCATGATACATCCTGAGTCACTGGAAAAATCAATTCTATTTCATTCTGGCCCTCTCTAATTCACTGAGCTGACTGACATAAAAGTTTTCATCTGGTATGAGATTACAACTGCAGAGCTTGCACATGCCATAAAACTATCAAATATGCTTATAGGGATAAAAATTAAGCAAGTCCTTAGAAAAATTTGGCCATTTGATATTCAAGGGTTTTTTTGTCTCAAGATGGACCACAGGTTCCATGTTCAGCTAGTTGCTATGACTAAAAGTTTTTGGTCTTTTGTTTGTTTCCCATACTTGAGATCAAACCCAGGGTACTGTACCACTGAGCTACATCCCCAGTCCTTCTTACTTTTAATTTTTGAGACAGGACCTCACTATGTTGCCAGGTAGGACTCTAACTTGCTATCCCTCCTGTCTCAGCCTCCCTCAGACCTGGGATTACAGGCGTGCCACTGCAACCCAGCTGATTAAAAGTTTTAATAAAGAATCTAAAACAACAAAAATCAAACATTTTGGTCTTAGAACACCTTTCCACTCCTAAAAATGACTGATGATCCCAAACAGCCCTTGTTTAGTAAGTTATCTTCCATTAAATGAATTAAAACTAAGAAATACATAAAATATTTAATTCCATCTAAAAATATATCTAGGACTTAACATGATGAAAGTATTTTTATGAAAAAATGACAATATTTTTCAAAGCCAAAAGAAAAATTAGTAAGAATACTAGCAGTATTTTCTATTTCTTAATATTTGTTCATGTCTGGCTTAGGAGACTGCTAGACTCTCACTTCTTCTGTATTCAATCTATTGACGTATGAAAAATACAGATCTTGAATAGGCAGATGCTTAGAAAAGTGAAGACTTTTTAAAATCTTTAACTGTAACTATTCTTTGATACTACACTAAAAATGCAACAAGCTGTAGTTACTTAAGCGTTAGTTGTGGGCTGGGAGTACAGATCAGTGTTGGAGTATCTGCCTAGCATGCACAACACACTGGGTTCAACCACCAGCACAACACAAACACATAAAAAGTCAGCTGCAATGCAGAAGCTAAAACTATGTAAGTAAACTTCCCGTATTCTGGCCAATAAATCACTGGTCTATTATGTATTTCTAAAGGATCTTTTGCCCAACCACAATCTTGTAACATATCATGCATTAATCATGCTCCCTTCTGCAGCACATATACTAAAACATCATGCATTAGTCATAAGGAATATATTGGTTCACTCAATTTTACAAATGCTTGTCATTATAAAATATATCTCTTTAAGTCATATTTGTTAATATCACCAATGATCAAATCACAAAGCTCTTTAAACATGGGAAGCTGCCAAGCTCCCAATGGAAGATAAACATTTTCCAAAATCCTAACATTCCCTTGAAAGCCCACGTTCTATCACCAGCAACAAAAACTACTGGTTGTTTCTCTTGAAGGCAAATCATTTTCAAGAAATATCCACCATCAAAGCTGAAATAGCCATAGTTTGCCTCCCAGCTATTCTCAAGTAAAAATGATGTTCCAGTTTAAAAAAAAATAAAAAAGTAGCTCAAACTAAAATGATCACATGCTTGGCATTGTGGCACACACCTATGATCCCAGCACTTGGGAGGCTGACACAGGAGGACTGCTGCAAGTTTAAGGCCAGCCTGGACTAAAAAGCAAGAGCGTGTTTCAGAACACAAAATAAAAAAAAAAAAAGAACATGAAAACTGCATTTTGTTTTGTTTGGGGGTTTTCTGAATTTTTTTTTAATGCCTGTGTGTGGTGGTGACAAGTTCAATGACTGAGTACGATCTGGTACTGGTGAATCTTGGTTGATTCACCAAGTTTACATTTGCTTTTCAGTATTAGAGTAAAAGCACAGTGAAAAGGGCAAAAAACCTTGTTACTATCATTATGAAAACAGTACTATCTGAAAGAGTTCTGGGGAGACCCTGTAGTCAGCAGACCTCACTCTGAAACCACTGCTCTACAAGATGCTGGTACTTCTTTTAAATATATATCTCAAAGACCAAATAACTTTCAGGTTCCAACAGAATGCTCCTTTAAGAGTAAAATTTCAGGGCTGGGTGTATAGCTCATTTGTAGAGTGCTTGCCCAGCAAGCACAAAGCCTTGGAATCAATCCCCAGAACCACAATTAATCAATTAATACAATTTCATTTAGGATAATTCTTCAATGAGGCACTTCTGATATGCTATTAACTTGATAGAATACAGAGGGGAAAAAAAAGCAATGCAATGCAATGCAATGCAAGTTTTATACCAGTGGTTCTGCCTCATTCCAAGTTCTGTTTAAGGAAGCCAGTGAAAGATGCTTAGCAGTATTATTCACCAGGCCATACACAAAGATGAGGCAATAATAAGATTTTCAGAGATAAAATGTTTTTCTATGCCCACTTAAGAATTAAAATAAGGAATAATTAGATTCTTTTGTTTGCTTTTGTTTTGAGGCTTGTTTGTTGAGACAAGGTCTTACTATGTAGCCCAGGCTGGTTTCCAACTCACAATCCTCCTGCCTCAGCCTTCCAAGTGCCAGGATTTGGGGCATGCACCACCACACCCAGCTTCAAATTCTTTTTTTTTTTTTTTGGTACCGAGGATTGAACTCAGGACCTTTTGCTTGCCAGGCAGGTGTGGCACCACTGAGCTACATCCCCGGCCCTCAAATTCTTAATAATCTCGAACACAAAAATATTATTCCTTGCCAGGCATGGTGGCATATGCCTGTAATCCCAGCTCTCTGGGAGGTTGAGGTAGGAGGATGATAAGGTAGATCCCAGCCTGGGAAATTTAGCAAGACTCAATCAATCAATCAATCAATCGGCTGAGGATGTAGCTCAATGTAAAGGTCCTAGGTTCAACCCCCAATACTGCCAAAAAATAAAATAATGTCCCTCAGTCATAGATGGAGTCTCACTATGAAGCTCAGAACACACAATGGATGCCACCTTACCTCATAATTTTTATGGGTTTCCAATGATCTCTGAGTTAGACCGGGTAAAAATACGGTCGAGATTCATGCAGTTACAAGATAAAACAAGTGAAAATTCCATAAGTGAGTGATGTAGATAAACTCTGTTACCATTCTTTATTTGGGTTTCCAAAAATACTAAGGCAGCTCAAGTTTGCTGGTCATTGCCCTGAGCACTGTGCAGGCATTATTACCTCATTTGCTCCTTATAATAACATTGTAAAGCAGCCAGTGGTGTTTCCATTTTAAAGATTTTTGAGAAAACTGAGGATCAGGGACATTAAGGCTGTTGACAGAGATCACATAGCTAGTAAGAGGCAAGGCTGGACAGGAGCCACAATTATCTCTTTACAAGGCTATATCTAAAGAAAAATAACAGGGGTGAATCATAAGGATGAGGAAAAGGAGAATCATAATGTATCTTTACGCAAGGTGCCATTCTGGCTCCCTCCAGAGTTGTTGATCACTAATGTAGAAAAACAACTGTGAAAAATCCCATACAGACAGCACTACTTTATAGATGTCATAAAAATGACTCAAAAAAGTTAGTTTCCACTAAATCCAAAGTCAGTAGTGTCAACGCCCACATTCTTCCCATAATAACACAGCACAAAATTGGGATTTAGCTGTTCTCTATCGAAACACAGTACACAACTGATTTCTCAGAACATACTTGCGTGATTTTATTTCCTCCAATTCTTTTGTGAGTTTCTCATTCTTTTCCTGAGCCTCATGTAACCGGCGCTTCAGATCGCCAATCTCCTCTTGGGCTTCAGATTTAATGTCATTTGCAATGACTACTGCAGTCTGTAGATCAGCTTGAAACTGCCGCCATTCTGCAGATTCTTCCTATATTTAAAAACTGATTTTTATTTCCAAAAGAGAGCAATGAAGATTTATTGAAAAGCAATAAAATTAGTTTGTGATTGGACTGCTACAATGTACTGTACTTCCAAATGATGATTAATGTTTGTTAATTCCAGAGAATGGCTATTACCTATTTGTAACAGGCCATATAATGATCAGTAACCTTGTTCTTAATGAGGGAAAGATTTTCCAGCTGATCTGCCTACTGAGGCATCAAACACAGAGGGCTCAATAAACACTAATGATAATAATGTCAAGCTGCCTTCCTCATGCAAGCTTCAAAGCAAGTCTTATGAAAAAATATCTAAAACTTAAAGAGTTTTACCTCTACAAAGAAAGCTCAAAAAGGTATATGAATGGTATGTGAACCATATAGTAAAAAACTATAAATATCCTGACATCAAAAACTAACATAAAAAAACCTAAAGGAAAAGGAAGAGGAAGCCATAAGAAAAACAGTGAACTCAATATAGGCAGACAAAATTATACAAAGAAGCAGTAAGGAAATGTATAGTCTGTTGCTTCCCACAGACATGGGTGTGGTTGGGTGGGAAGTCTCCTCCAGGGCCTCATCTCCACCCAGAACCACAGCTGGGCCATGCCTGAGATCTCTCACTCACAAAACCATTTTCTGACATCATGAAGGCACCCTCAGCAACTGTGGCATGACTCAAACTGAGATTAGCACTCTCCCCCTCCACATCACAGCAGTACCGATGTTGGCAAGCTCATCAAATCCACAGAATAAAGAAAGCTCATGCAAACAACCTAGTTTAGAACATTTTATAATCAAAAACTAATAAACTTTCACTCTGAAGTAAAATGTATGTTTCCTAAATCTATTTTCCTAAAATTGCTGCCCATAAATTATGAGTACATTTTTCTATCCCTAATCTAGCACTAGTTCCAAGTTGAAATGATGGTCATTCGCTTTCTGCCCAAAGTCCAATGAGGCCAATATCACCCCTGTATTTAAAGTTTAAGGTGAATTTGATAGCATGGTCAATGACCACATCTTAAATTCTGGGAAACTGTTTTCTAAAAAGATAATACATGAGGGCCGGGGATTTAGCTCAGTGGTTCTGCAAGCGCAAGGTCTCAAATTCAATCCTCAGTACCAAAAAAAAAAATAATAATAATACATGAAGATTTATCTTACTCGAAGTCTCCTGTGAAGTGTCTTGATTTCTCTTTCCATGTCATGTTTTTGGTCCTGGAGTTTTTTAACTGTATCTGAAAAGATCATAAAAGTATAATATTCTTAGAACAATGTTCAAAAAGAGTAACATAAGAAGAGGAGGTGCTTAAAATTGACATTCAAAAAAGTTATCTTTCCAAAAGACTTTTTTTCTTCTTTTTTTTGGTACTGGGGATCGAACTTGGGACCTTGTGGTTGCGATACAGTAGGCAGCACCACTGAGCTAAATCCCCCGCCCCCGAAAGACTTATTTTTAATACAAAACTTTAAAAGCAAAAAAGAATGATTAATCCAAGTACTAGCTAATGTTACTTTCTCTGGAAAACACCTATTTAACATTACAGTTTCTGTACTTTCTGAAGTACCTTAATTTTGAAACCAAAAATTAATTAAAATCAATTGTTAAAAACATACACATTGCTGGCCCACAACCAATCAAAACAACACAGACTGCTATTAAAATATGAACTTTTAATCACAAGGGTTATTAATCTAAAGAATTTATTCAAGCATAATTTCCTTCATACACAGGAATAAATTCCAGAGAAATGAATTAGTAAGCCAATTATACAAGTAATTATATAACACCCAGTCACCTGCAACTTAAATTAACTATATAGAATGGTAGCAGTAAATAAAAAGGGAAGGAAGTCATATTCTATCTGGAGGGAGGCTCTGCTCTAAAATCCATGTACAAGAAAGAAATGCCTTAGGAATATCATTCTGGTAACTGGCACAATATATGTTTAAATACCCAAAAGCAGTTACATATGGTGATAAATCCTTTATTCTGATTTTACCTACAGCTACAGTCCTGTTCATTCTCAGTGTTCTAACTCCACCTTATACAGCCTTCTAACAGGTTGCTGCCAATATTATCAAATTTATTTACACGTTTCTGCCACTAGACTGAAAACACTTCAAAAGCAAGACCCATTTCCCAGCCCCCAAAACCAGAACACGTGGTGGGAATTTAAAATAGAATAAATGTATAAAGATTCAATGGTAGCAGTAAGAAAAAGTAATACTGAAATCATTACCTAGGATTTTTGTAAAAAATGAATATGTTATTGACATCAGTTGTTAGCGCAATGTAACTATAGACCAGTGGTGGCAAACCTATGGCACACATGCCACAGCGGGCTGTTTGTTATCATTGAAATCTCTAAAAGGTTCTCCATCACTGCACAGACATTGGTGCTTCTGAGTAAATAATATTCTATCCCATTTCTTGCACTCAGTAGCAGAAAACCAAGCATAGTGAACACCTGTGTGTAATGACATGCTAACAATCATTTTTTATCAAGATGCTAAAAACTATGAAAATGCTTATTTTTTCTTAGATAGCTCTTCATCTTCCTTATTCCAGTTCTGTCAGAAACTTGGTCTTCTAGGATACCTGTGACATTAAGCCCTTCATTTAACATTGGCACATTTGTGTTCTGATTTTGGGGGAGGGGGGTGGTGTTGGGGCTAAGCCTACATACCCAGCCTTAACGTTCTTTAAATGGCATTCACTTTAGTATTTAGTCACAAACACTAGAATATTTGTAATACTTACATGTAAACAATTACTATAAATAGATAATATGCTGTGTTTTCTTTTCTTCTTTTGCACTTGCAAGGCAGGCGGCGGCACCACTAAGCTAAATCCCTGGCCCTATGCTGTTTTCTAAAGATGGATAAAATGAGATAAAATGTGGGCAGAATAAAAGCTACAAGCTTTGGTAGCCAATGGGTAACACTCTCCCATTCATTGCCCCAAAACTGTTTGACAAACTCAGTGTCTATGAAATAAGAAAGGTTCAAAATTTACTTATTAACTCAATAAGCATCTCATAAGTACTAATTTTGTACCAGGCTTTTTTCTAGATGCTGAAGATATGAAAAACATAAGTAGTCTCCACCTTCTAACAGATCAATCTTGTGTTGGGCTATCAAAGAAGGATGATTTCATATGCAAAGGATTAAACTTTTAAAGTTTGTCTCATGTACAAGTTACTTTAAACCTCATTTAATCTGGCAAATGAGAGTCAAACAGGTTATTCAGTCTGGTTAAGAGCAAAGTGGGCATCGAGGTGAATGGACAAGTCCATTACCCTGTTCTTTGTTGCCAGAGGCAAAAGTGGCTCTGAAACCAGCAAGGGAACTTGGCTCACACATAAATTCAAGGTTTTGATACTATCAAACACAAACAAAGAATAAAGACAGAAGAAAATACTAATGCCTTTCATTTATATTATTTCCATTTATATGTAGGAGTTATTTTATAATTAAACAGGGAAGCAAACAAAAAGTGTTAGGACCATAATTTCTCTTACAAGTTGCTAAAAATTGTTTTTCTTTTCTTCTGATCACAAAAGACACATCTACTTTAGACATAATTTATGTAAGACAAATGACAGTAAATCTTAACTAATTAACTAACAGCTCACTTTTAATACTTGGTATCTTGATTCTCAGGTGACATTTTAAGTGACATGACCATCTTAGACCAATCATAAAATTTCACATTTCATTCATTCTTTTGTTCTTATCCTTTTGTCTTTACCATCCTCTACATTCATGGCCACAGAATTCACATAACCACTATTTTTACAAGGACATTCTTCTGCTGCTGGCACGATACATTTATTATTGTCACATCTTATTACTATTCTTTCTAAACAAAGGAAAGCTGGCAGCCAGCGGACATACTTAAATAGAATAAAGTGCACTAAAAATGTCACTAAGGAATTTGATTTAAACTTTATAACCATGTCTGTATTTTCCCTCTGAAATATAAAGTGTTAAAAATGACATCATGCTTTCCTCCCTGGAAACAAAGGACTATGTGCTTAAGTTCTTGTTTTGAAGACTACTTAACAAAACTGCCATCTAACATGATTAATAGTCACACAAGAAGTCAGCATTATTTCAGCTCTAAATCCAGTTTCCTTTCTTTTCAGTTTCTCTAGCATAAGACACACTGCCATCTACTGTCTTTGATTCAAAAGCAATATTCAGTTCTACCAAATAACAGGATGACTATGATGTTCTTGCTTTTTAGTTACAAATTATACCTCAATTTTTACAAATCAGGTAAACTGCTATGCTCATTATTAGATCAACTTTGTTCTGAACATTTCTGTGCACTGCCCTGCCTGTTTAAAACAGGGGTTCATTATCTTGTCACCACTAAGGAACTGCCACTTCTGACAAACCAAGAGAAATCCATGCTGGCTCTGGTTATTATACAGATATTACCAGGCAGCTACCACAGCACAGACTCAAACTATTTTTTTTTTTTTTGGTACTGGGGATTGAACTTGGGACCTTCTGCTTACAAGGCAGGTGGCAGAACCACTGAGCTAAACCCTCGGCCCTCAAACTCTATCTTTTTTTGTTTTTTTGGTTTTTTGAGACAGAGTCTTGCTATGTAATTCAGGCTGTCCTTCAATTCACCATGTAGTCCAGGCTGGCTTCAAACTCATGGTGATCTCAGCCTTCCAAGTCCTGGGATTATAGGCGTGATGTTTCAACTTCTAACTCTTGGGGACGTAAAATAAAGTCCATGACCTTTCCTACCCTTCAAATCCCTAGAAAGCTCTCAGTACTAGCACCAGCACTCAAGAGGCTTATATCTGGTCAAGCACTTCCCCTAACTCCAGGTGTGATTTTTAGAGGAAAGAAAAAGATAAAGAGTAAACAGCACATAGATTATCAAAAAGACCAGAGACAGGGGTGGGCAGTCCAGACACTGGACCACAGCTTTATCTCCAACCCAGAATTCCTAATGTAGAGAGACAGAGGTGAGTTAGAAATGAACCATATACTATTGTATTTTTTTTTAATTTTCCCTCTAAAAAGTGGACATAACTTTTAAAATCCTTAAAGTAATACATATTCACAATAAAAAGTATGGAAAACTGGGCCGGGGATTTAGCTCAGGTAACGCCGCACCTGCCTCGAAAATGCAAAGTCCTGAGTTTGATCTCTGGTACCAGAAAAAAAAAAAGTATGGAAAACAGAAAAGAGTAACAAAAATAGGAGTACTTATTATTTGCATTTATCATATATCCTTCCAGAAAGGCTAAAGCATGAGGACAGCAAGTTCAAAGCCAGCCTCAGCAGCTTAGTGAGTCTCTTTCTCACGATTTAAAAAAAAATTTTTTTTGGATGAGTAGCACTTGCCACTCATCTTGGCATCGATTACCTGGACTAAAGGTGAAGTCACTGACTTTTGGGGGGCTCAGTTAATGTTTAGTCGGCTGTTTCGTTTCTTTTCAAACAAGCTCTGGCAAATTTTGCTAATGAAAAGTTTTGCATGGTTTATTTTTCATCAGTCTGTTCTGGCAGGCTTCTAATGATACCAGAATCACTTAGACCACTGCATGTGGTGCTCAATTCAATATTATTGCTACTGTGATAATGGATGCCAGTTTTGGCCTTCATGGCATAGAACTCTACCTCAGATTTCCTCAAAGCTAGGCAGCTGTTAGTAAAGATGGCCAATTTCACTTTGCCCTGTCTGATCATCTTCAGAGACTGCCTGTACCCCTCAATATAAGACCTTGCTGGGGCCGAGGATTTAGCTCAGTGGTTCTGCCGCCTGGCTTGCAGGTGCAAGGACCTGAGTTCGATCCTCAGTACCAAAGGAAAAAAAAAAAAAAAGACCTTGCTAAAGCCTACACTGATGACGCATGCCTACAGGGGACTCCCTTCTGGATGTTCAAGAAGAGAAATGACACTTAAACTGAGGCCGCTGAGTGGATATATTTCACTGTAGACCAAACCACCTTTCCCTTTGTGTGGTTTTGTCTTCAAGACTACATAGTAGCCTGCGGTTACCTCAGGCACCAGCTCACTTTCCTTCCAGACACTAAAGCCATGCTAGGAATCCCTGGCACCCTGTATTTAGAGAAGTTTGAGTGCAGCAGCAGGATGGGGACAAAAAAGCTAACACCCTACAGAGGGAGGAGTGCAGGGTTCTGATAACCCTTCAGTGTTACAGCCTACTCCTGCTGCTCCTTCCAGTCCCTACCACCCCCAAGCTGGAGATTTTAGTGCTTCCATCCCCAGTATTTGCTTGGCATCATTATCCAGAACTATAATGTTTTCCTGGATGATGGGTTTTTCTATTCTATTTGAATTCCCTACATCCCCAATTCCATCTTCTTTCTATGTTCCAGAAACTACTCAAAACTGTTCTGCTGATGGGATCATTCTTGTTTTGTATCTCAGTTTTAGTTTCATTGTAATTTTTATATTTCTTCTGCAATGTCAACAGGACTTTAGGAGGGAAAGGAAGTATATGTGTGACCTCAAGCCATCACCTTGAACTAGGAGTCTTGTATGAGTTTTTAAAGCAGATCTTTCTAGTTTAGATGCTAAATCTAAGCCAAGTCTAGAAATATGACACCGGTATGATCTGGGAGTCTCCAGATACACCTATTACACTGTTTGATATCATGATCTACTCATTTTCTTTTTTCTCTCTGTTCCATGGGTTGCATATTTCTGCTGACTTATTATCAAGTTCACTGGCTCTTCTCTATTTCTAATTTGCTATTTAAATAATTCAGTAAATTTTTAAATATGAGATGTAAGTTTTTCAGTTCCATTTGATTCTTTTTTTTTTTCTCCCCTAGTACTGGAGATTGAGCCCAAGGCACTCTACCACTGAACTACAACTTCAACTCTTTTTTCAATTTTAAGACAGGGTCACACTAAGTTGGCTACACTAGCCTCTAATTTGCAATCCTCCTGCCTCAGCCTCCTACGTAGGCATTTTCCACCTCACCCAGCTTGCTTGGTTCTTTTTTGGAGCTTTTATTTCTCTGCTGAGATTTACCATTTGTTATTCATTATGAATACATTTTCCTCTACAATCTTGAGTACAACCACTGCCTTAAAATTCTGTCCACTAATTCCAAGCTTAGGAATTTATCTTGAGGTAAATAAAGAAAGACTACTAATGGGTACAAAGTTTCTTTCTGAAATTATGAGAAAGTTCTAAAACTGATTTGTTAAAACATTCCACAGAATAGCAGGGTATGGTGGTGTACACCTGTAATTTCAGCACTTAGGAAGCTGAGGAGGAGGATGGAACTGAGTTTGAGACCAGCCTAGGCTACACAGTGAGTCAAGGACAGCCTGGAATACACAGCAAGATTTTATCTGTAGTAGTCAGCCACAGTGGTACATGCCTATAATCCCAGCATTCAGGAGGCAGAGGCAGGAGGATCATTGCAAGTAGGAGGCCACCCTGGACTACATAGTGAGTTCAAGGCCAGCACAGGCACTACAAAGTAAGACCCTGTCTAAAAAAAAAAAAAAAAAAAAAAAAAATCTTAAAAAAAAATCCACGAAACAAAAATCTTGATTTCTCAAGTAACAGTGTTCCCTGACATGAAGCCTCCTATACAGTGTCAAACAGTTATCCTAAATGCTAGAAATCTAACAAATAAATGTAATACAGTGGCACCTTGGTACTTGCTGTTAATGTGTTATAAAAGTATAACAAGTACCAAAACTTCCTGATGAGGAATCCATTTTCAAAGTCAAGAAGAGTTTTCAAGCTTTTTCCTATGGCCCATGAATTCTAGTTCTTCAATTATTTTCTCCTTTATAGCGTTCTGAACACACTGCTGATGGTACTTGGAGAGGTCAGTGTACGGATCCACAGAAATGTTCCCCTTGAGGAACCTCTCGGCAAATCAGTAATGGAAATACTGCTCATACTTGAGCTTCATGTCTGTGTTTGCCTCCCACCTGGTTCTTAATTTTAAAAAGAGGTATAAAAAGACATTTTGAGGCCAGCTGGAAAAATCTAAACATGGGTCAATAGATGACACTAGAGAACTCTGACTAATTTTACTAGATGTGAAAATAGTACTATGGTTTGAGGAGAATTTTTTTTGGTAGGAGTTATATGTTGAAATATTTAGGGATTAAGTGCCATAAGGTCTATAACTTATGGTCAACTAGTTGAGTTTAAAGACCGTAACTGCAAAATGTTAGCAACTGTCACTACAAGCAGTAGGTAACATCTATACTATTCTTTCAACACTTACGAATATTTGAACTTGTCATCTCAAAGAGTTGAAAAGAAAAGCAATATGGCTAAAAAGTTACTCAGAATTTTCATTCATCTTCTGATTAAAATCCATATGTTTAACAATAAAAATTTCATTGCAGAAATCTTGATCATCTAACATTTTTCCAGTTATTGTCCCAGTTACCACAAGGTGTCACACTTTCAACATTCAAAATAAAAGTTGGTAACAGAAGAATACTAGTATACTTAGGGGATACTGTGCTGAACTTCCAAAATAATCTGAAAAACTTTAGAATCTCATATGTAGGAAACAGAATTAGATAAGCCACCTCTATTCAAACTTCAAACTAAATATAAATGCTAGACTAGAAAGTTTTTTCAACTGTAGATTAGAAAGTTTATTTCAACAACTATTGTCTTCTCCAATAGTCCTATAATCAACTATCTCAGTTTATAGAAGCCTCGAAACACTCAAAAAACCTTGGGGAAAATATGCAGATGCTAAATCAACTAGAACCAGAGCTCAGAACTGCCCAAGATGCATTTAAGGTTTCTAGTAAATGACCTCACTCTGCCTTGACAATAGTTCAAGTTTCCTGCCCAGGCACTGATAGTATGGGATCTGGTTTAATGCTCTGTTTGCCAATCAATATTCTGTCAAGAAGTAGTAAGACAGTAGAGTCCAAAGGAGCAGTCGTGTGCACCAAAGGCTTAAAAAGCTATAACTTAAGCATCAGAAAAAGTTGTCCATGAGCCAGGTGTGATGGCACACATCTGTTCTGTAATCTCAGTGCTCAGGAGGTTGAGGCAGGAAGATAGTGAGTTTGAGGTCAGCCTGGGCAACATAGCAAGACCCAGTCTTGGGGAAATAGGAAAAAAAAGGCTGCCCCCATTCTCTTTGTCCATTCCCACCTGGCAAAAGTGTATGACAACTCAAAATCTGTTAACACCTGACAAAGATACATGAAATACAAATAAGAATTTTTTAATTTACTATTTGGAAACAATTTCAAACTTACAAGAAGGTGCACAAATAGTGTTAACACATGCCCATTTACTGAGATTTGTCTACTGATAACAGAATATTCGCTATATCAACTGCTATTTCTTTCTTTTTTTTTTCTGATTTTCTAAGACAGGGTCTCACTATGTAGTTTAGGCTGGCCTTGAACTCACTATGTAGCCCAGGCCAGCCTCAAACATATAGCAATCTTCCTGCCTCAGCCTCATGAGTGCTGGGATTATGGGTGTATCCCATCATGCCTGACTTGCTATTTATATGTCTATATATCTACCTCTAAATTTTCTTCTGGAGCCACTTAGGAATATACATCACAGCTCTTTATCTCTAAGTATTCAATGTGTAGGTTCCCCAAAACAGGGATATTTTCTTACATAAACACAGTATTCAACTTCCTAAGTTTATATCAATGATATCTAAAGTACTATCCAAAACCCAATTTTGTGATAATGTCCCTTATAGCATTTCTCTGTAGTACCAGACCTGTCTAGACACAGTATTACATTTAATTATCATATCTCTTTACCCTCCTTTAATCTGGAACACTTCCATAGCCTTTTTCTTTTATGACATTGGCATTTTTGAGGACCATAGCACCCTCTACACCCTGGCTTCTAGTAGAATTCCTAATTTTTTTGCCTGTCTAATGTTTTCTGTGATTAAATAAAGTTATGCCTCAATCGGAATACAGTCTCACCAGGGTTGTGAATAATATCTTTGTGCCTTTATCATTTACATAAGCACTCAAAGTGTTGTCTAATTTTCCCACTGCATAATTACAGTTTGGGTTTTTTTCCCCATTTTCTTCACTTGTAACTTGTAAAAGTATTCTATGGGAAAATATTTTAAGGTAATGCAAATATCTGATTTCTCTTCCAAAACTTCTATATAGAAATGCTTTGTACTATTTTTGCCACTTTTTTTTGAGATGGGGTCATGCTATGTTGCCCCGACTGGTTTCAAGTTTGTGGCCTCAAGTGGTCCTCCTGCCACAGCTTCCTGAATAGCTGGGACCAAAGGAATGCACCACCACAGCTGGCTGCCAACTATTCTGTAAATCTAAAATAGCCAGAAAATTTTAAAGCAAAGGGCCGGGGATTTACCTCAGTGGTTCTGCCACCTGCCACGCAAGCACAAGGTCCTGAGTTCGATCGCCCTTACCAGAAACAAACAAACAAAAACACCAACCACTCTGGTGAACCAGATCAATAAAATAATCAGAAAATTTTATAAGTTAAGAAAAACTTTTACTATAAAAAACAAATATAAAACCTGAGTTTCATTTCTACCCTATTAGGAAATCTTCATGGCAAGAAAAACAAAAATCTATGCCTTAGGATAAAGATTATGCAGACTGGTATTTTTCTATCTTGATATATCTGCAATCACTATCAAGAAATAATACATGCTTTTTTTTTTTTTTTGGTTTTTTGAGGCAGGGTCTCCCTTTGTAGTTCAGGCTGACTCTGAACTCACTATGTAGCCCAGACTGGCCTCAAACTCACAGAGATCCTTCTGCCTCAGCCTCTTGAGTGCTGGGATTATAGGCATAAGCCACCATGCCTGACTAAATGGCTTTTCTTAAAATGTAGAAAATAGCAACCTCATCAGCTTTTCACTTAAATGATATTCCTTAGTTAGGAACAATTTTAAAGTAATGATTCTACCCAATAGTTCTTTAGGAACAAAACAGCAATTCAAAGCCTATTCATTAATGTGTGAATTTGACTTTTACCATAAACACATTCTGCAAGTCAGATGCGCTACTGCCTCTGGACTATGTGCCAATCAGAAATAATAATTTGCTAAAAGCAATTATATTTAAAAGAACAGAACTAAAATAAATAAAAAGTTGTCTCATCACTTACTCTCTAAATCAGAAATAATGAGGTTGTCATGAAGTTTCACAGCTCTATGTTGTTCTACTTCATCTTCAAGCTCAAAGATAGTTTCTTTCATATCACTCCTTTCTGTCTCTTTTTCCTCCAGCTCTGATCTTAGTTTTTCTAATGTCAAATTCAAATCTTCAATTTGTTTCTTAGCTTCTTCTTGGAAGGCTCGGTATTCGTCCTCTACCTATATAAAATTGACAGAAAAGTACAGTTGTTCAAAGATAAACTCTAAAATTGAGGTAAGCAATGTTTCAAGTGGAAGCTAAGTATAAAGTTCTATGAATGAACTAAATCTGCAAGAATTGTAAAAAAAAAGTGATTCTACAATAAGATGTTATGTAAATATTTAAACTTGCTATATCACCAACCAAAATTATATTGAAGTATCACTGAACTTAATTTCCCTTCTTCAAAGTTTTGACTAAAAGCATGCATTTGATTAATGATTAATATGCTCTCCTACAAAAATGTTTTGTGAGTTTCAATATTAAATTAAACATAAAAACACAAATAAAAATTCAAGTAATGTCTCTGCTAAAGTTTTAGTGCACGGCAAAAGACACAGTTCAGTCAGTGGTAAAGCACTTGCCTAGGATGCATGAAGACCTAGGTATTAATCCCAGTTCCGCAGGGAAGAAAACAAAACAAAATAAAACAAAAAAAATTTAGGTATTAGTTCATAGTGCCCCTTTAAGAAATAACACATATTGGGCTAGGGATTTAGTTCAGTGGCACTGTGCCTGCTTCGAAAGCACAAAGTCCTGAGTTTGATCCCCAGTACCAAAAAAAAGAAAAAAAATAAATAACACATAGCATTTAAATTGTATCTCTAAAAGTGGTCACTAAAAAATTAAAGTCTAGTATTTAAGTTCTAGCCAAAGATGTACTAATATTTCTTCCTTTAAAGATCACTGCACTTGGGCCAGAGACAGTTCAGTGGCACTATGCCTGACTCACAAATGCAAGGTCCTGAGTTTGATCCCCAGTACCAGAAAAAAAAAAAAAAAATCACTGCACTAACATTAAAAATAAATACAATGGGAGACAAATTAATTAGATAACTTTCACACACACACACAGACTCATACACAAATTTCCAATCACTTCCATCAGAAGGATACAGAGCCCTGGCAAAAATGCCAGAAAACCAGGGCAGCAGTTCTGAGTCCTCACTATTAAGCTGAATGCCTGTAAAACAGTGGGGCTGAAGAAATAACTCTAAGGTACCTCTCAGCAATAAATCCCAGACCTCCAAGAAATAGGGACCCTTATATGCCAAAACTATTTTTAACTCACAACAAAACTATCTGAAAAACTACAACTAATGCAGGATAAGAGGTGGCAGTCCTACAGACTGAAATATCAGTTCTTTGGCTATCTATGCTAATGTACACTGGAGATGAGGATATAAAATTCCATGATACCCCATAGGCATACCCACAAGGAGGTACAAATTTTAGTGTCAGCTTTAACACTAGCCCAATCCTCTCACAGGCAAGAAAACAATGAAATATAAGTGAGTGAGAGTGACATTATTGTAAGACTACATTTTACTTTACCATAGTAAAAGAAAATTATTCTTAGGCTTCAAAAAATATTAGGGTAAATAAAAGCTAATGACACATTAAACAAGTGCTCCTGGCTCTCAAAAAGTATGTTGTGTACAAAAGCTGCACAATGCTTCTCCAGAACATTTTTATCTATTTAAACAATACCTTGGCAATGGTGTCCTGTAATCGATTGGCATCATTTCGGGTATGAGCCAGATCTTCCTGCAGGCTACTAGCCAAAGTCTCTGCCTTTTCTTTGTCCAGCCTAACACTCTCCAAGAGATCCTGAATATCAGATTTGTCTCCAGAGTTATGGATAGAATATAGTTCAGCCACTTTCTGCTTTTCATTCTCCAGCTGGGCCTTCAGGCGATTCATCTCTATCTGGTCGCTGGACACTGTGGCTTTGTACTCCTCTAAGGTTGCTGCCAGGGCTGCTTTGCCTTTCTGCTCAGACTCAATAATTCGCTCCATGTGGTGACTGCGTTCTTTGAGTGCACCTATCATTTCTTGAGCTTCCTTGTTGTCTTGTTCTGCCATTTTTAAAGTATTACTTAAATGCTGCTGGACACCAAGAAGCTGCTCTCGCTCAAAACGGGCATTCTCAGCTAAGTCCATGTAACGCTGCTCTAATTCCATATAGCGTCCACTTTTTACATCTTCATCTATAACATAAGAAATATGATGCTCATCTAGAAGGGAACGGAAATATTCAATCTGCCGGCTAAAATGTTCCAACTTATCACTTTGTTGACACAAAGACTCCATAAGAATGACTTTCTCCTCCCCAAGCCTTTCATTTTCACTATTTAGCTCTTGGGTAATCTGCTGCAAATCAGCTAGTTCCTGTAGAGTTGCCTGTAGTTCCTCACTTGTACTGTGCTGGTTCTCTTCCATCTGGTGTATCCGTTCTGTTAAGCAAGCAACAGACACTTCACTCGCATTCCCACTGCTCCCTTTACGAGAGCGCTCCATGCTTGGAATACCCTCTGACTCTGAAGATGATGGTGCATCGAGGGCATCGTCGCTAGAGGTGAGAGGCTGATAAACCTCACTGCACTCACTGTCTAGGTTATCCATAGAGTTACTGTGCTGATGATCCATGAGTGTATTTTCATCTTGACTCAAGAGATCCTCCACTGACCCCGGTGCAGAGCCTTCCACAGAAGAAGTCAGAGTTCCTCCTCCATCACTCTGGTTACCAGGGGCAATTTCTGGGCTCAGGGACTGATAGCCAAACAGTTTTTCAGAATTATCTAACCTCTGTTCTAGGGAAAAGCCCAGTGCATTCAACCTGTCCTTTAACATTCTGTTTTCATTTTTCAACTGGTTGAGTTCTTCACGGATGGCAGTATTCTGTTCTTGCAACTGCAATAAAGTGGACTCGACATCAGTTGGCTGGTGAGCAGTAACAGTTTCCTTCTCCTCAGACTTTTCATCACCCTCAGAATGATCTTCATTAATGCCCAGTTGAGCACGCATGTCTCGGAGTTCATTTCTCAAATGTAAAATTTCCACATCTTTGGTTTTTGCCAGTGTAAGAAGATCTTTCACTTTAGCTTCTAAAGCAGCTTTGTCACTGATCTGATTGTCTGATTTAGACTTGCTCATACGAACATCACATTCCATAGCAGTGCGACTGCGGGAACGTTTAGCCAATGCCACATCGTTAGCTCCCTGACCTGCAGAAGGTAGTTTTTTGCTCTGGTTTAGTCGGGTACGTTCACGTAATCTTTCTCTAGTAGAACTGGATTCTTTACTACCTGCAGAAGTGCTCCGTTTGGTTGAAGAACTTGTGCCTATGTGTTTAAAACAAAGAATTGAAGGCAAAAATATTATCAACAAGAAGGCATGTATTTTATGCTTCAGGTCCAATAAGGTGCAAAGCTGGGGATATACACATTGATTTATACCTACATTATTGTCTTACAGTCTGGTTACTTTAAAAATCCAGGTTCCTCAAAACCAGACCACTCAAAAAAAAAACCAGACCACTCATCTTTTAATGAGTAATGAAAAAAACGTTATACACCTAATTTTATACTTTAAAAGAGTAAACTGTATGAAATATGGAATATGAATTATATCTCAGAAAAGCTTTTTTTTTTTTTTTAAGATATACATATTAACTCTAAACCAAAAACACAGCTTTAAACAGCTGGCCAGGGGCATAATATTTTAGCATAAGCTAAATGAAGATGACTGTAGGATTAGCTATCAAGTGGCAAATAAACTGCAGAAACAGTCGTTAAAGGGAGATCATCGGTGAACAAAAAGGGAAAGACGGCTTTAGGGCAAACTAAAAATCTAGGATGCCTACAAGAAATACAAATATGATGACCAAAGTAAATACAAAAATGTTTAACATCATAGAATGCCAGGTAAATATTAACACATTAATTATAACAACAGCTAACACATACCTAGTGCTTACTCCACACACACAAGTTAACCAAGTGCACTGAGGATGTAGCTCAGTGGTAGAGGGCTTGCCCAGGATGCTTAAGGCCCTGCATTGTTACAGACATCAATTTATAGAAACCTCATCAGAACTCTGAGGTAGCTGGAGATGGTGGTGCATGCCTGTAATTCCATCTACTCCAGAAGCTGAGGCAGAAGGATTACAAGTTCAAGGCCAGCCTGGGCAATTTAGTGAAATCCTGTCTCAAATTTTTAAAAAGCTGGGAATGTCAAAAGGCCCTGAGTTCAATCCCCAGTACAAAAAACATACACACATCTGAGGTAGATGCTATCATCATTCCATTTTACAAATTTTTAAAAGGCAGAGAAAGAGGTTAAAGAATTTGCCAATAGCAAGCTGGGCATGGTACCACATACCTGTAATCCTGGCACTCAGGAGGCTGAGGCAAAAGGATCACCATGAGTTTGAGGCTGGCATGAGTTACACTGTGAGTTTAAAGCGAGCCTGAACTGGTGAGATCCTAGTCACTCTAGTGAGATCCTGTCTCAAAAAAACCAAACCAAACCAAACAAAAAAACGAATTTGCCAATACACCAATACACAGATAGTAAATGAATGAGCCAAGATACAATCCAATACAGTTTGGTTTCAGAATCTGCAACTTAATCAGTAGGCTATATTGCCTCTCTTAATAAAGAATAATAATGTCTTTTGTGGTAGCACACGCCTGTAATCCTAACACTTGGGAGGCTGAAACAAGAGAACTGCTGAGAGTTTGAGGCCAGCTTGTGTGACATTGTGAGTACAAGGCCAGCCTGAACAAAGCAAGACAAAGCAAGACTCTGTCTCAAAACAATAATAATAATAATAATAATAATAACAGTCAATGTTAAGTAATGATGACACATTAACAAAATCTACTGAATAAATTATATTTTCCTAAATGCTAAAATTCTAAACCTTTGAAAACAACTGACAAGATCATTTGTGTAATACCCATCCCCCCAGAAATGTTTAAATACCCATAAATATTTAATAAAATATTTTTTAGTTAGAAAAATAAAAGCTAGATGTAATCACTATTTTTGTTTTTGCTTTTGTTTTTTTTGGTACCGGGAATCGAACTCGGGTCCTTGCGCTTGTGCAGCAGGCAGCAAAACCACTGAGCTAAATCCCTGGCCCTGTAATCACTATTTCTAAAGAATCTACTTATTTTTAAAGATCCTGTTGGTGGGCATCAAGGTTACAGAGGTTACAAGGACAAATGATCTCTGTGATAGAAGATGGTCTCTAATTTTGCCATCAACTAGGTAGAGGAGGAGAAAGAACTTAGACTGGCCACAAGACAGAAAAGGATGAGGAAGAAGAAGCAAACATGATACGTTAAAAGGAAAGGTAAGGTGACACAGTTAACAGAAGCTGCAGGAAGGTATATACAGATCCCTGAACATAAAGCAGAATTCAATGTGTCACCACAAGTCAAAAACTGTTCTTGAGGGGCTGGGGATTTAGCTCAGTGGTTTCGCCACCCTGCTGCGCAAGCGCAAGGACCCGAGTTCGATCCCCGGTACCAAAAAAAAAAAAACTGTTCTTGAGGGAAGAAACATAAAGAAAAGAGCTTTTATGTAAATTAATCTGGAGGATGCTACATGGAACATATAAAGAAGAAAGTAGAGAAGGGGTATAGGAAGGTGAAAGAGTAAAAGTAAAGGCGGGGGATTACATTTGGAGAGGAGGCAGTAAGAATGGAGAATGGACAATAAACTTGACAGATTTTTGAAGGGAGACTGACAGGTTAGGAAAAACACGACTGACAATGCCCTAAAATGAAAGAAGTAAGGAAATGAGAAGGGACAGAATAGAGAGAAGAGAAATTCCTAGCCCTATCAGACTCACATAGATATACAATACATATGGAGCAACTAAGTTATTCAGGGAAATGATAACTGATTCTTGAAGTCAGGTGGCATGCGTCAGCAGGGAACCATGTGGAAACACAGTACAATTCTAGACTGGAAATAGGAAGAGACACAGAGGACAACAGAGTATTTAATTTCCAGTTTCCTTCTTACCATGTAGGCTAGAGCAGTGGTGGTGAACCTATGGCATGCATGTTATCCGTTTTTCTTTTAAGACAAAAGATGTAAATGTATCAGTTATTTTCTCTAAACTAAAAACCTCAGTATTCAGGTTTAATTGCAGTGTTGGCACTTTGCAATAAATAAGTGGGTTTTAGGTTGCAGTTTGGGCACTCATCTCTAAAAGGTTAGCCATCACTGGGCTACAGTATTAAAGGTGATGATGGCCCTAGGTTCAAGGGATAAAAAACCAACAGTTCAATCCTTGCTCCACTACTAGGTTTGAACCCAAAGCCTGATACAAAATTGGTCCCCAATAAATATTTGCTAAGTAAGTGAATGCATGGCTTTTGGCAAGAGACTTAAGTTTAGCTTAAGTGCAGCATTCTCCCTCTAAAATCAGAATAATAACAGTCTTTACTTCATAAAATAAAGATGCATATAAAATGAAATAATGCCAGCCAGGCATGGTAGCACACTCCTGCAATCCCAGTACTCTGGGAGGAGCACTCTGGGCTGGGAGGATATCAAATTCAAGCCCAGCATGGGCAACTTAGGAAGACTCTGTCTCAAAAAATAAATAAATAACAGGGCTGAATGTAGCTCAGGAAAAAGGTCCTGGGTTTAATCCCAGACACTGCAGAAATAACAACAACAATAATAATGTCTCCCAAAAGGGACTGAAATATTCCCTCTTGTTAATCATACCATACCACTATTAAAATTAAAAGTAAGGTGTGATCTGGGAGGGAAGGAAGATTTCACAGAAATCTTAGAATTAGGGAAGGGAAGGGGAGGGGAGGGAAGGGGATGGGAGAGGAATCTGTCCTATCAGGGCTCGAGGCCCAATGTCACTTATAGACAGCCAATATCACAACAGATAATGAGAAACACTATAGGTCAAAGGCTAGTCTCTCCAAAAATTAAATACCAAGGAAAAAAGGGAGCAAATCTAGATTTAAAAAAGAAGACTTGAGACACACATCAGCCAATTATTACACATAAACCTTATGTGAATTGTTTGGTTTTTTTTGGTACCAGGGATTGAACTCGGGTCCTTGAGCTTGCGCAGCAGGCGGCAAAACCACTGAGCTAAATCCCTGGCCTCCTTATGTGAATTCTGATTCAAACAAAAATAGCTTTTAAAAAATTTACAAGACAGGTAGAAATTTAAGTACTTACTGAATAATCTATAGTTTAAAGAACAATAATTATTTTAAGGATCAATAACAATACTGTGACTTTTTTTTAAAGATGATGAAATATTTACGGATGAAATTATATGATATCTTGAATTGGCTTCAAAATAATAAGGGGCTTTGAAGTATAGCTCAGTAGAATAACACTTGCCTAGCATGTACAAAGGCCTGGGTTCAATCTCCAGCACTGTATGCTGGAGTTATGAGTTGATAAGAGTGATGAAAGCATGACTACTTTTGCATATGCTTGAATTTATCTTTTTTTAAAAATTATATTTAGATGGAATACTCTAAACACTAATGCACTGTATCTACTTAAACAAAAGGAAACTTATACCTCAGACTGAATGTCACCCATACCTGTGTTGATCTTAGGTTTGTTCTCCACAGTGGTCATGGCAGGGGCAGATGCTGAAGATGCTGCAGATGGGCAGGTACTTTTCTTTCCCTTAACACCATTAGTCACTGTTACCCCTCCAGCCATTCCAGCTAAAAGATCATCACTGCTCTTGGTCTAGAAGCAACAGAAAATTTTTAAAGAATGACTAGATAAAAATGGAATCAAACTCTGTGTAAATAGAGAAGGGTGGAGGGGGTGAAGGGTGCACAGGTAATGGGAGAAAAAATAAAAACTAAGATGCATCATGTTCTGGTACAAACACCCAATGATAAATGTAAATGTATTTTATACCTAAAATGTACCAATAAATATATATATTAAAATAAATAAAGAATGACTAGATAAAGCAAAATTAAATATTTCAAAACTAAACAAAGCTCTTGACTTTTAGTTTAAGAGCTCTACAAAAAAAAAGCTCTACAAAGACTTTCGGACATTTAGTAGGAAGTACACCATGCTGCACTACGGAAACAGAATCTCTATAAACAATCACAGGCTTCTATTTTAAGATATTAAAATTATACACATAATTAAAGATTTTATGGATCCCTGTTGTGTGCCTTCATGTGCCAGATTCAGTGACAGACGGGAAAAAGCACAGACACCATCCTTATTACTCTTTCATCTAGGATGTGACTCAGGACGGGGCATCTCAGTGAAACCACATAGGCTATCTCAGAATAGTTCTACACTGCCAGAGGAAGGGCCACTCTGTGCAGTATCTACAGAAATAACATTTAGAGTCATGTGACACTTACTATTCTAAGGTGACTCAATGAGGAGCCAATACAGTGGTGCCTCAGTTCACGAACTTAATTCTTTCCACAATTCTAGTGCCAGAATTCATTCCACAATTCTGGTTGCAATCAAACTGCAAATGTAACCAGAACTGTGGAACGAATTCTGGGACCAGAATCATGGAAAGAATTAAGTTTGCGATCTGAGGTACCTCAATGCATATAAAAGAAATTTTTCTGAAATGTTTCTCAGTTTATCTAATTCTCTAATATATAGTTAAATTTATATCACAATGGTAAGGAAGGTTTTGTTTTTTTTAAAGGCCTGGGTAATAATTAATTAAAAAAAAACCTAGAGAAGTCTGTCTAAATGACCACCCCACTTTAGAGAAACTATATGTAATATTTACTCTAATTTTATAAAGATGATTAAAAATCTGATGAGTTTTTAGAAAAAAAAAAGATGGATAATGGAATTGGCTTTAAAATTATTAAAGAAAAAGAGTGAATAATTTTTTTAAACTTCCAGAAATAAAAAAGAACATAGAAGAGTTAAAGAGCTGTGGAAAAAAGGGAAAACTATTACTCTGTAATAAGTTAGCCTCTTGATTTATGCTGTCTTCTGTAGGGAGCCATATTAGGGACTTCTTACATAATTGTGATGAATTCATTTCTACAAATTAAAATGGTTCATATGTAACTGACTTCTAAAGTTTCTTCCAGTTCTAAATATCAGTAATTCCACATAAGGAGAACACATCATTTAAATATGAGTCATGATATATCACTATTTGATAAGTCAAAATATTTTAAAAGTGGTAGAGGGGCTGGGGATGAAGCTCAGTGGTTCTGTGTTTAGCATGTTTAAGGCACTGGGTTTGACTCTCAGAATCATAAAAAATTAAAATAAGGTAAAATAGGGATTAATATTTTCAAATAAAAAGAACTAAAGTCTAGTACTGTACTTCAGGGCTATCACATTATAGGTAACATAGAATATCTAAAATAAAGAGGAAAGGAGACCTTGCATTAATAATGAAAGACTGTCTATATTCTTTGTTTTTTTGAGACAAGGTCTCACTATGTAGTCCAGGCTGTCCTTGAACTCACTATGTAGCCCAGACTGGCCTCAAACTCATGGCAATCCTTCCACCTCAGGTTCCTAAGTGCTGGAATTACAAGCACGCACCACCATGCCCAGCTTAAAACTTATTTCTGCTAATAGAAACTGGCTATCACTATGATGCAAAAAAAAAAAAAAATTTCAAATCAAAAGTCCCCTTTTCTGTCAACATATAAACTCAATAGTATACAAACTCAACATACTCTTCTATTTTCAAATATCTTTTATACTGTTAATAAAGGCTGGGTTTATATTTGAACTAATTTTTCTTCTATTATAAGTGAAATAGTCTTTTCTTTCACAATCATGTGATAACCACCCTATGTAGATAGATTAAAAATATGACTTAACTGTCACATTTCTCTGGTTATAATTTGCCTTTATGTGATGGCAAAAGTAATCATCTATCTGGGCATTACGTCACAAACTCTCCACTTATAATAATTCAGATCACACAGTACCAGCACGAGAATAAACCAGTAAAACCAAGTAATAATCCACTGATGGAGGTACAGCTCTGGGGTAGGGCTCTTGCCTTACATTTGTGCGGTACTGAGTTGGACCTTCTCAAAAGGAAAAGTCTATAAAGAGCCAGGAGTGGTGGTGCACACTTATAATCCCAGCAATCTGGGAGGCTGAGAAAGGAGGGTCACAAGGTCAAACTCAAGCTGGGCAACTTAATGACTTTGTAAGACCCTGTCTCAAAATATAAAATAAAAAGAGCTAGGGATATAGCTCAGTGAAAAGGTCCTGGGTTCAGATTCCAATGGAGAGTGGTCCATATAGAGACATTTATTTATAGCTAAAGAAGCAGTACAGAAAACATGAGTTTTCCAGTAAATGGCACTAAGACAACTGTATATTCACAAGTGAAAAATTTAATCGAGGTCTATTTCACACCATATCAAAAATAAAGTCTAAGGTTTTTAAACTATGACTCAAAATCCCTAAATCATAAAGAACTGATCAATTTGAACATACAAAAATTAAAATCTTTTTGGGGCCGGGGATTTAGCTCAGTGGTTCCGCCGCCTGCCTTGCAAGCGGAAGGATCAGAGTTCAATCCCCGGTACCTAAAAAAAAAAAAAAAAAAAAAAATTAAAATCTTTTTTTTAAAACCCAAAATTTTAATCTAAAAATATTTTTTAAATCCTTTTCATGGCAAAAAAAAAAATCATAAACTAAAAAACCCATGAAATCCAGGTACTAAGATAATACCTATTACCTATCAGGTTGTCAATAGCAAAAGTATGACAACATACTCTTCTGGGAAGGATATGATGAAACAGGCATACTTTTAAGCTGCAGGTGGAAACCACCTTAATATAAACCTAATGAAAGAAATTAGGCAATATATAACAAAGCTACATATGTTTCCTTTTGCTCAACAATCTCATTTCTAAGAATTTAACCTGAGAGAATGAAAAGAAAATGAAAATGAGCTCCAATAAAATGAAAATGAGCTCTGAAATGAAAGAAATAACAATTTTAAGTGCAGGTGACAATGTGGAGCAACCAGGAGTATAAACGGTAACCACGATGAGAAGTTTTTGTTCCTATCTATTAAAGCTAAATACATGTATATGCTATGATCTAGTAATTTCACTGGGGCCAACAGAAATGGGTATACATATATAAGAATGATCCTAACAATGCTGGTCTTAACAGCCACAAAGTGCAAACTTCAAAAATCCCTCAACAGTAGAATAGATCGTAATACATTCATCCCAGGGATTATCAACTAGCAATGGAAAAGAAGGAACTACTGTTATATGGGACAATATGAATAAGAAACCAGTGATACATAAAAAGAACATAGTTATGGTTACATTTATACAGTATAATGACCAAAAACTGGGAAAAGTAACCTCTGGTGTTAGATATTAAGATGGTAGTTATTCCTAAAGAAGATGCAAAGGGCAATGATTAAGCTAGGGTTTAAGGGAAATTTCTAAGGAGCAGGGATACTACATGACTTGGGTTGTGGCTACAGGATGTGTTCACTTTGTAATGATTCACCAAGCTCAATACCTATGCTTTGAGAAATTCTTTTATGGTACATACCAACAAAAAGTAAAAACAAAAAACAACTCTGCACTTCACAACTTATCTTCTACACTAAACAACTTGCAGGCTCATTGCTATTTTTCCCTATTTCTTTTTATTTTTGCTACAAGATTTTGCAAACACATGTGCATTCCCACATGTTAACATTCCCCATCACCAACAGTTCAAAGACATAAACTGACAAAGGAACAGATTATTAGCCTACTTTTTAATGACAGATGCAAGACTGACCATTTAGTAAAAATATTCCAGATTAAAAAAAAATATTTCTCAAAGTCAAATCTAAGTTTCCTAGTTGCATCTTTACCTCAAATGAAAAGATCAGTTTTCAAATCTTACCTTTCAAATTTCAGAAATGGAATGTTCATTTTGCTTGTATGGCTAGCTTATGTGTGTGTGTGTGTGTGTGTGTGTGTGTGTGTGTACATGTGTGTTGCTTGGATCACACCCAGGGCATCGTACATGCTCAATTTCTGAAAATTTTCTGAAAAAAATGCATATCCCTATACCCTGCCACTAAAAGAAAAGTGTCATGAGAATATTGTACAGTGATGGATACAAAGGTGTGTGGATGTCTGCACAAGAGTGGGTGGGTATGCACACATGATGTCTAAATAATTAAAAGCCAAATACTTCATTCATCTAGTTAATCATCAATGCTCCATCATAGTTATAGGAATTCAAGTTGTAAGAAATATCATGTGCCAGAGAAACAATGAAAAATAAAAATTCAAAAACAGTTAAGACTTAATTAAGTCTGAGGGTCTCCCTTTTTCTTGAATTGCTGGAGATCAAACATGATGCTTCATGCATGCCAGGCAAGTATTCTACCACTTAGCTATCTGTTCATTTTCACTATTTTCTTTTTTCTGTCTGTCTCTCCTTACTTCAATTTCTAATCCATGACTTTATTTTTTCCTCTCTTAACTGAAAGTAATTGCTCTAGTCTAGGCAAAATGTTTCCAAATAGCTTTACCTCTTCTTTAACTTCCCCACTACCTACACATGCACACATACACACACCACTGCTTATACTTAAACAAAGCCGCCAATGCAGCTGGCATGTGCTGGCAAGAGCTGGTATACAGTTTTTCTTTACAATGGAAAAATATTCATTGTTCAAGACCATACCAACAACTTCAGATCCGTGCCTCAGAAAATCTGACATGCCTGCTCAGTGCACATTCCATAGTAAATCTTTAAAGACACGGCCTGCCTCTGATGAGAAGGCCACAGAAGAACGGTAGTAGTATATATCTAATGCCAATGTTTCAACTTGTTTTTCCAGTCCCACAAATAACAGGTCACCCAGTCACACAGGGACTCCATTCTAAAGACAGCCCCGGCAACTGAGAAACAAGTTAGGTCAGAAAATGCCACCCATTTTGCATGAAAGAGTGGCAGCACTGCCACCAAGGAAATACTTCAGGATATTGATTCAGACTAACGGAAGTAGGGCAAAGGTCTATTCCTGGTACTATACTCCAGGCCATCGGATAACACCTCACAAGTCATCAGGGGTATAGCAAGGAGAAAATCTGTGGGAGTCTCCACATGAAGTCTCAGTTCAATTTCAACAACCCTGGAATAGAAAAACCAGCATTTCCTGCTAGATCTTTCTATACATATAAGAAAGTCCCTCACCAGCTGTTCCTCTGAAGTGCTTCTTAAAATAATTAAGGCAAATGCTTTTGAATGGATTATGTTTCAGGTTAGCTTGATTTCCCCTTATCAGACTAACAGAAACTCCCTCCTAGCTGGCTGTGGAGGCCCATGCCCATAATCAGAGCACTCAGGAGGCTGAGTCAGTAGGATCACGTGTTTGAGGCCAGCCTGGGCTACTTCATGTGTTCAAGACCAGCCTGAACTATATAATGAGATTCTGTCTTAAAAACAAAAACAAAACCAAACAAGCAATAAAGAAACTCCCTCCTAGTTTTCTGCACAGAGTCAAAGTTTCTATTCAAAATAACATAAAGCTACAACAAGCAAAGAATGAAACAAAATGAGTTTTGGCTGGGGATGGTGGTATGCTCCTGTAACCCCACTTCTCTAGGAGGTGGAGGCAGAAGGACTGTTAAGTTTGAGCCCAGCCTGGGCAGTTTAGTGAGATCTTATCTCAAAATATAAAACTAAAAAGGGATGGAGGGGGCCGGAGATTTAGCTCAGTGGCACCTCACCTGCCTTGTAAGTACAAGGTCCCGAGTTTGATTCCTGGTACCACAAAAAAAAAGGGATGAAGGGATGTAGCTCAGTGCAAAGGCCCTGGGATTAATCCCCAGTACTACAAAAAGAAAAAAAAATTTTTTTTGAACTGAGAAAGGCTAGAAAAGGACTGCAGAGATCACTATGTAATGATACAATAAAATAGACCAACAGAAAAATGACATGGAGCGATCTTGTCCCTTGGAGGGCCCAAACCAACACACAGACAACAGTGAGAACACCTCATGGGAAAAGTGTTACAAAGAGGATTCAACCCTGAATTAGAGAAGTTTCTAGGGCTAATTAATAAAAATGCTACTACCTGCACCGGAGATGTAGCTCTGCGCCACAGTGCTTACCATGTGCAAGTCCTGGGTTTGATTTCCACCAAAGCCAAACAATTACTGCTATTTACTAAGCACTTGTTGTACCAGGCCCTGTGTGATCCATTTTCATTTCCCTCATTTGATCATGGCCACAGCCCTGTGAAGAATATACTAACCCCAGATCTATCTGTTTTCAAAGCTTATGGTCTAAATAATCATTATTCTATATTTTTAAAAAATTAAGCCAGTCTCTGAGGAGTATAAAGAAAACTAATTATGCTCTTATTAAATTAAAATCCCCAATTATGGCTGGGTATGGTGGTGTACACCTGTAATCCCAGCACTTGAGAGGCTGAGGCAAGAGGATCGCTGCAAGTTCGAGGACAGCCTGAGCTACAGTGAGTTCAAATTCAACCTGAACTATATAGTGAGACCTTGTCTCAAAAAAAAAGACTTTACTCACGTACTCTTTTCACAAAACCTTCCTGGGCTAGAAATAATATCCTCTTCCTTGAAACTGTTCATACCAGTCTACTGTACCCCCAAGGTATTAGACATTTTCTACTTGTGTTTCAGTTATTTGTGTTTGTGCCATATCTGTCTTTTACTCCACAAGCTCCCTGAAGGCAGACTCTACCTCCAGATCACATAAGCATAACTCCTCCCACAATGCTGGCACTCAATTGTTTATTCTATACATTAGCCTATTATTTAGTTTCATTCATAAAGACAAACCAAAACACCAATTAAGGCTACCTCATTGTAAGCTCTCTTCAAAGGGCCAGTGTTCCCAGTACCATCCAAGGGTAAATTCTAAAAAATGATCATTTATTAAATTTATTAAATTTATTAAATTCAACATCAAATTAAAATGTACTCCTAAAATTCTTCACATATTCAAACACTGCCACTGTTAATACCTTTGACAATAATGCTGCAGTTCCAGGTTTTACAAATTTTCCTCCTGTTGATGCTGAAGAGCTGTTTTCAGGCTTAATTTTCTCTACCGTTTGTGTTTTACTTGTCCCAGACACCTTAGGCACTGAGCCAACACTCCTGCTTGCTTTCTTCATTCTGGGCTGCCTCTTTATGATGCATTTACAATCAAATCTGTGGAAAGAAATGAAAAAGAACAAAATTGGAAGACAGCTCTTTTGAAATGCTTTCAAAGAGTTTTTTGTGAATTTTTGAAAATTTCTGTGATGTTTGAAAGCTAGTTATCACTATAGAAAACATATGAAAATTCTTAGACTTGCTTATCAGAATGCACCCTATTTTCACTGCTCCTTCCTTGACTATTACTAATTTGAAATTACTTTGTGTATTCTAGTTCACTGAGTGCAAAAATGCTCTACTATTTTCAGTGTTTCCAATTGTCAATGCTTTCTCCTTGACTATTACTAATTTGAAATTATTTTGTACATTCTAGTTCACTGAGTAAGAGGAGTGTCCAACCTCTCTAATAGAACCTAGTATAACACACTGCACATTATCTTCAGCATTTAATGAAGAATAATCATCTTGGCATTTGGGAACCAGCCATTCTGTAGGTATCAGGGGTGATCCAAATTATCCAGCAAAGTCCTAATTTCAAATATTTGTTGTGATATCCCACCTCAGCAGGCAGATTATCACAAAAATACCAACATTCAGGATCTAAATATATTTTCCAACATATCTCTTTTATCAAGAAGCAGTACAGAAATTCCTTATCAAAGCACTGGCCCTAATTAGTGGTTCAGAAAATAAGGCCATTCTGCAGAACTGTAAACATTATGACAGTTCTTCCACCTCAGTGATACAAACTTGATTTCATAGCCAGAAAGACTTGGAATAACACTGGCAGCACACACAGCTGATGCTAGATAATCCCTTAAACACGTATTTGTCAACTGAGCCAGAAAACCAGTATCTATAATGTGTTTGGGAAGACACACCGGATCATTTTGTACAGGGTGATACAATTAAGCAAAATGAAAGCCCATTTTGAAAGTGCAGTGGTTTATGTAGAATGATTCTAAGACACCATATTGAATATAAAAAGTGCATCTATTTTATGAAGACATCTATACACTAATAAAAATAGAAGAGCAAGTTGGGGGGGGAGGCTCATTCTCACAGCCTTACTTAGTATTTTATGTAGACTGTGCTTGAACACTCCAGGTTTATCTTGCCTTGACATACCACCACAGTACAACTGGTCTGATGGTGAGAACTGGGAGACAGGGCAAGGGTGCTCTGCTCTTCCCTCAACATAATAAGGCCTAAGAACAAAGGGAACCCACCAAAACACAGTGAAACTTCAGAGAATCTCTCGAAAATGCTGCATATAACAAATTACCTATCTGCTCTTAAACCTTTTGCTTTCTACTCTCCTTTTCCATTTATGTAATCTGCCTAGAGTAAGCACTCCTATACCAGCTCTAGCATTTATTTCCTACACCTTTGCAGACAATACTGAAAATGATCAGAATAGATTCAAGGAGTTTCCCATAACAGATAAATATACAGTCATACTAATCCCTGCCAGTCAGCAATTTACGATTTTCTCACAAAATAAATTATGTAGATTAGATCAGCTAACTGAAGGTATTGTAAAAAAAAAAAAAAATCAAATCAGGTTCTAAGAACTTTTCTTCATCTTCCCACTTTTGAGCTTCTGTTCTGTGCCTTGTAAATGATTCCCTGGAGTTTCTTCTCTCCTCCAAATTCCACACCTGAATTTTTTTTTTTTTCAGACAAGGTTTCACTGTGTGGTTCAGGCTGGCCTTGAACTCGCTACACAGCCCAGGTTGACCTCAAACTCATGGTAATCCTCCTACCTCAGCCTCCCCAGTGTTGGGATTACAGGTGTGCACCACCATGCCCAGCCTCAAATCGACACTTTCCAAACAAGAATTATCTAATAGAACTTACTGCAATGATGAAAATGTTCTATATCTCTAAATGTACTAACAGGGTAGTCACTAGGAGCCACTTAGTGGCTGCTTAGCACTTAATATGTGGCTAGTGTTGCTGAGTAACTGAATTTTGTTTAATTTAAATTTAAAGCTGCTGCCAGGAGTGGTGGTGTATACCTGTAATCCTAGCACTTGGGAGGCTGAGGCAGGAGGATCGCTTTGAGTCTGAGGCCAGCTCGGGCTACATAGTGAGTTCAAGGGCAGCTTAGACTACATAGCAAGACCCTGCCTCAAAAAAACCAAAGATGATGATAATAATAATAATAAATTTAAACTTAAGTTGTACACAGTTGGTGGCTTCTACACTAGACAACTTAATAGGCTTCTTTTCTTGATGCTGTCCAAAAATTAAACCAAATTAACTTCCACTTTACACCTACCAGAATGGCTATAATCAGAAAGATAGGGCCGGGGATCTGGCTCAGTGGTTCCAGCGCCTGCCTTGCAAGCACAAGGTCCCAAGTTCTATCCCTGGTACCAAAAGAAAAAAAAAAAAAAAGATAAATACTAACTAGCTTTAGGGGAAAAAATTGAGCAGTTAAACTCCTCACACACTGCTGGTGGGAATGTAGAATGGCATAGCTGTTTTGGAAAATATTATGGTAGTTTCTCAAATGGTTAAACACAGAGCTACCATATGATCCTCAGCCAACTCCACTCTAAAATACGTACTAAAGAGAAATAAAAATATTTGTCTACTCAAAAATATAAGCCACTCTTCCACAAAAAAAGATCCTCCATGTCTCAGCCTCCCAAGTATTACTACCAACGTATTACTGGCATTTACCACCATGTTTGGCCAAACTTGTCACTTTAAAACACTAGTTTTCCAGCCTTGGCAGCAAGGTTCTTCATTTACATCTGCTTTTTTCATATAAACAAAGTCAGTATCCTTTCTAGAATCCAACTGGAGTTTGACACAGAATTCAATAAGGCTGCAGGAACAGCAAGCCCAAAAGTCAAAGGAGAAAAGACACAGCTCTACCTAATTTATAATTAGGGCAGGTCACTAAATGAATAACAAAATAATTAAACTTGATGGAAGAATTCTCTTTCTAGGGCCCATATTTTAAAAATTCACATACTGTTGTCCAGCAGTCAAATCTGCTGTCTTGACCCAGCAAGCAATACAGAAGTGAAAAGCACGGTTATAGACTCCCCATGAAATGGTACACACTTTGGAAGTAGTAGATGCCAATTAGCCTGACATTCTAGGCAAAGATTCATAATGTGGTTCCTAAAGATGACACAGTTATCAACCACAATATCTCACAATATGTGGGGTACCACTTTTTAAAAATTTATTATTATTATCATCATCATTAGTTGTTGTTATGTTTTGTTTTCTTTAGGCAGGGTCTAGCTATATAGTTAAGGCTGGCCTTGAACTTATTATGTAACCCAAACTGGCCTCAAAGTTGTGGCGAACTTCCTGCCTCAGCCTCCTGACTGCTGAGATTAACAGGTGTGTGCCACTAGGCCCACCTCATATTCCACTTTGTCATTTCAAAGTGCTTCTTGTCCATGCCACCACTGGTGCCATTTGATGTATCCATATCCACTGTGCCTGCCATTTTGGAAACACAACACTGTTTCTAAAGCAGAAGGACAAGTTTATCCTCTAGTACTCTGATACTGCAAAAGTCTGTGAAACTAGGATGAATTAGGCATAGTGATTTCATCATTTCACATGGCTTGAAATTAACATTCTGGCTAGAGGTGTAGTTCAGTGGTAGATAATGTGCTTAGCATGTATGAAGCTCTCAATTCAATCCTCAGCTAAAGGGAGGAAGGAAGAAAGGAGGAAAGGAGGGAGGGAAGGAAGGACGGAAATATGGATGGATTATCTAAGTGTCTATCAACTGATGAACAGATAAAACAGATGAGGCCATTTCATTCCAGTGGAACATTATTTGGCAATAAAATGGATTGCAGGAACTGGATGTGGTGGCACATACCTGTAATCCCAACAGTCTGAGAGGATGAGGCAGGAGAATCAGAAGTTCAAATCACAAAGAGACTTAGAAATAGAAAGATCCTGTCTCAAAAAAATTTATGAAAGGGCTGGGGGTGTAACTCAGTGTGAAGGCCCAGGGTTCAATCCCCAGCACCACCAAAATAAAAGGAAAAAAGTACTGATACATGTTACAACATGGATGAACCCTGAAAAGATATTAGAAAAAGCCAGACACAAATAATCAATTATTATATGATTCCATTTTGTTATGGCTTGTGTTTAGATGTCCCCTCAAAGACTCAAGCAGTTGAGGTGGGGCTTTCTTTTTCCGAGGTGGCTGAATCTAGTGTGTGTGATACTGGGATTAAGAGTGTGTGGTTATTGCCGGGGATTTAGCTCAGTGGTTTCATCGCCTGCTGAGCAAGCACAGGGACCCGAGTTCAATTCCTGGTACCAAAAAAAAAAAAAAAAAGAGTGTGTGGTTATTAAACCATGTGAGTGATTGTTTTGGCAGGCCCTAATCTCGATTGTCTGGATAAGATAAAAGGGGCAGAAAAACACTGTTAAGGTTCCTTGTAGTTTTTGCTGTCTTCCACTGCCATGAACTGTTGTTGCCCCTCTGCCATATGCCATACCTTGGAGCCAGCCGATAATGGACTGAAACCTCTAAAGACTGTGAACTAAATAAACCTTTCCCCCTTTAACTTTGGGTGTCAGGTATTTTGTCTCAGCAATAAGAAAAGTAACTAAGACATTTTATATGAATTATTGAGAATAGTCAAACTCATGCAGTAAGAGAAAGTAGATTAGTGATTGCAAGGGATTAGGAGTTGGGGGAGAAGGACTGACTTCTTAATGGGTACTAGGTTTCTTTTAGGGATGATGAAAAGTTCTCAAATTAGACTGTAGTTACAGAACTCTGTAATTATATTAAAACATGCTAAAAAAAATTTTTTTGAGCTAGGCTCTTGATATGTAGTTTAGGCTTGTCTGAAACTCACTACCGTAACCCAAGGTGGACCCAAACTCACAGCAATCTTCCTGCCTCAGCCTCCCAAGTGCTGGGATTATAGCCAGGCATCACCACGCCCAGTAGAAACACTAAATTTTATATTTTAAGTGAGTAAATAGTGTGACAAGTGAATTTATTCAATAAAGGTGTAATTTTAAAACTAATGAATAACATCAAAAAA